ATATTTAGGCCCCTGCTCGCCTGCAGATGTATCTCCGTGAACTACGGCCTCCCCATCTGTCCCAGCTTCTAATTACAAATGCAAAGATAGAGCTCATTGACAAGGCCATCATAAAAGGGAAAATATAAGTGATTTAAATGCTGCTCTAAGCCATGTTGTTCGTGTTTCACACACTCCAGGCAAGGAGATTGCTCTGTCCCTCTGCTGAGAGTTCTGGCGTAAGCCAGTTTCTGACTTGGCCAGTCTGTGGGAGAATCCCTACAGCATCGCAGAGGAGGAGGGCTTCACTTCCATCACAGAGATCCTCCCAAATGATTCTGCCCAGGAGAAGAGGTCCCCACTGTGGTTTCTGCTCAATCCTACAGTCTGCCATGATTTGTGGATTACTTGAACTCCTTGGGGAAATAGATCATGTGGACACAGGACTGTGAATCTGACTATGATGACGATAAATTATTTTCTTTTACACAGCACCACTGATGAAACAGGGGGGTTTATCGTGAATCGTCATAGTAAGGAGATGGAAAAAGGTACCTGCACACACACAAAGTATAAATTCAACTTCCTTTTCTTTCTCTCCTCCTTCCTCATTTCCTCCTTTTTGTTGCAGCTCTAACTACAGAAGACTTTAAAAGTTACCTGGAGTGACAGAAGCATGGGATGGAGGCAGGAGCTGCCTGGAGACACCTGTTGTGCTCTCCTAGCTGTCAGTGATTACATAAAAACAGGAGCCTCACGCCTCTTAGGTGTCCCTGGGGATGGCCCCCACCTGCTCTGCCTCCCAGATCTGTGGAAACTTCCTGTGGATTTGGACATGACAGTGGTTGGTAAACTGGAAAGCAGTTGCAGGAGCCTGTGCTCTCTGACCAGTCCTTTCATCACAGGAGAGTAACTGAGCCCCTGTCGTGCTGAGGGGAGAGAGCCACACCCTGCACTAGGCCCCAGAGCTCACCTGCTCACTTGGCTGCCACGCTCTTGGCTCCAGGGTTCTGGTGATCTCTGGAGGAGGGGGTTGGGGCTCAGTACAGCTCTGGTGAAGGCCACAAAAGAGAAGGCTCTTTCTTTTTTTTTTTTTTTTATTTTTTTTTTATAGAGGCATGTTTTATTTATTTATTTGTTTGTTTGTTTGTTTTGTTTATACATGCACTGGGTACAGTCAGAAGCGCGGGAGGGTGAGAGAATTCACCAGAGCCAGAGCGGGGAGCAGAGCAGGCAGAAGGACCGAAGTACACTGCTGAGGGGAGCAGCGGGCGGCAGGAGAGGTCTGCGCGCCATGTGGGACCCTCCTCCGGTGGCCGGGGAGCAGCCGGGGATCAAACTGGCGCTGTAGAGGCCGCGGGCAGCTTCGCAACCCAGCGCTCAACCACTGCGCCACCAGGGAGGCCCGAGAAGGCTCTTTCTTAGCTCATAAGAAACTAGTTTGTCTGGTTTCACACCTCCCTCCCTACGAAGTGGAAAGAATTTTCCTGGGAGTGCAGAGACCTGTACTCAGAACCAGCATGGCCAGGAACTTGTTATAAACCTTGGGCGAATCACAGCAGGAAAGGGCCGAGGAGGGATGACACTCGAGAGAGGGGCTGCTGTGCCTGATATGGGTTTGACTGTTTTATATTTATTCATCCATTTAATTCTCACAACAACCTTATGAGGAGGGAGAGATTTTCACTGCTATTTTCTGGGGAGTCACTGGCCCCAGACCGCTGGGCAATGAGTAGCAGGGCCTGCAAATCCTGCTGTCCTGTCCCACGTCTTCGTCCATTGCCAGACGCTGTCTCCCACCGTGTGGAAGTGGATGATCATTTAAAATTTGCTTACATCTCCTGTAGAAGTTTTAGAAACTAATCATAATGAAATACTTCCCAGGCATTCTGTGAATTACGTGTTAACAATTTACATCTGTGGCTAGGAGACTAGGGAGTGAGTGATTCTGTTGCTTGAAAGAGTACAAGTATTGCTCACTGTGGAAACCATATTCCAGTCTTGAGATTAAAAATAGCGTAGCGTGGGTACCCGGCCTCTATGGGAGCCCCTCACTGAAATATCTCTTAGACCCAAGAATGTGAGTGATTAAATATCCAATGTCAGGAGTATGTAAAGACTAAGGGGTAAATCAACTTCATCAAGTCAACCCTTCTTCAGAGCAGGGGAGGAAAGGCCTTTTTTCTATTACCACCCCAGGTTTTGCGCCTGCGACTCTATGGATTGGGCCAGTAAAATTCAAATTAACAGGAGAAAAGCATAGGAATTTATTTATATACATTTTACATGACACAGGAGCCTTTATTAAAATATGAAGACCCCAAGAAAGGTGAAACCTGAGCATTTTAAAAAATATTTAGTGAAGTAACAGCGTTATGACATTGGGTAAGTTGCAGGTGTGCTTAATTATAAATCAACATCTGTATAATCTACTTTAAGTTCACCACTAAAAGTCCAATTTTACGCTTCACTATACGATTAACCCCTTTTACCCAGCTGACCCAGCCCCACTTCCCCCTTCCTTTCTGCTAAGCACTAAATTGGCTTTTTAGTTTAAAATTTTGTTTTATTTAGTTCATTGGTTTGTGCATCATATGTGAGTGAAATCATGTAGTGTTTGCCTTTCCCTGCCTCACTTAATTTACTAAACACAATGCCCTTTATGTCCTCCCATGTTGCTGCAAATGGCAGGATTTCGTCTTTATTTTTATAGCTCAGTAGTACTTCAGTGTGTGTGTGTGTATGTGTGTGTGTGAATCTGTATCACATAATCTTTATCCAAACATCTATCAATGAGCACTTAGGTGGTCTCCAGCTTTTGGCTCTTACATATAATGCAGCAACGAACTTGGCAGTGTGTATATATATATATATATATATATATATATATATATATATATCTTTGAATTAGTGGGTTTTTTAAATATATTCATTCATTGGATAATTAGCCAGAAGCAGAATAATTGGATTATATGGAATTCTGTTTTTAATTTTTTGAGGAATCTCCATACTGCTTTCCATAATGGCTGCACTAATTTACTATCTCACAGTGTACAAGTGTTCTCTTCTTGCCACATCTTCTCCAGTCTTGCTGAAACCTGAGTATTTTCATAGTACTTTGCTAGAGAGTGGAAAGTTGTGGAAAACATAAGGACAGAAGAGTATAAACAAATCGTAGTAGTAATGGGACTGGGGGAAACATAAGCATTCAGATTCCTTTCGGAATCCCTCAGGCTGTGGAGATAAAGCACCTTTCCTTGGAGTACAATGAGGGCACCAGTCACAGGAGGATCTCTTGACCTCTTTCAAGGGAGACAAGATGTCAGGGGGACCTATCTGAACCTTTTTTTCTAACTCTTCTTGCTAAAAGTATGCATTATGCCAACACACTATATTTTAGCTCTGTCATTGGTTGACAACAAAATAAGACTAACAGACTTTAAAGCTTGTGGCAAATTGCAACTAAGACTTTCAGTATGATATGGGCCTCAGATTTCAATTTATTTCATATAGTTTTAAAATCTTTGTCTAAAAATGAATATAATTTTTTAGAAGTTTGGTTTCAAGTTTAAAAAAAATATTGAAGGGCAGTAACTTGCAAATCTCTGCAGACTGTCTTTAAAAATACTTTCTAATTAAAAATGTTACTAACATTGGTCTACAACACTGTATACATAGGAGCCCAACTCTTCAGGTGATTAATGTCTTAATAACCACACATGGGCATGGAAATATGAGCTGAAGGAACACTGGATTCACTAAGGCTTCTTTGTGGACATTTCTAGTTCATAGTGGCACTTGGTGGGTTTTTGAGTTTTCTCCATGTCATCTCTTTGACAGAGATGACAGATGACAACTGCATGAAAAACAACAGAACGTGTTCCGGGGTGAGATGCCCTCCTAGGCCTCAGATTCAGGGCTCTGTAGCTCAGGCCAGTGAAAGGCTGATGGCAAAGGTTTGGGTTCTCTCCTGGGTGGTTTATGGTAAGACTCTGGGCTTGATTCCCAGCTGGACACCATCTTTCTCCCCGGCTCAGGCAGGTTTCAAGATTATTCACTGCCATGCTGGAGCCTGAAAACAAGCTTGCAAGGAAACAGGTGGTGGGCATTAAGAGATTTACCAATGCCTTTTTTATTTCTTCATTTCCTTTCTGTGGAATTTCATATTTGTGAACATATTCTCTGAATGCAATGGTGTAGCTGTGTCAGAGCCAGCAATCCCGAATCTCAGGGCACTCATTTCCTGAAGAACATGCATGAGAAGTGAGCATTTGCACTCTCTTATAAATGTTTTTAATTCACCAATAATGTGTATATAGCCAGCAAGCATGATTCTCAGCCTGGAGAGGGCTGTTGCTAAATTTTGTGTTGCTCCTTAAAACCAGCTAGGATGGGTTCCCTGTTATTACCTTTGAGAGGGGCTCTGAAGTCCTTTTCTGGTGATTCTTGGCTCACTTTTTGTTTTTTATTTTATTATTGCCTTAGTTAGCTAGGGAAAATAATAATGGCATGAGGAAAATCTCATCTCATACAACAGTTCATTTTTTTTCCTTTCATCCTAGTTCTCATAGGAATAAATAAATAGCATGGAAAGGACACAAGTTGTGCTTTCTATTCTGTTAGAGTCTAAGGAACCAGGATTTCTTTCTCTCTCTCTTTTATAAAATAAGATTAGTTTTTTCCTGGAAAGCTAAATAAATGAACTCACACAGCTAGAAAATTGTGTATACAGGATAATGATGATCAGCGATTTAGCAGATAAATTACTTGCTAATACAGACATAAACACATTCATTGGGTTTTAAATTTTTTTCTTTTTAAAATTTTTCCTAATTTTTTTTCTAAAAGTAAAGTCTATCTATCAAATGAAAAGAAAAGATAGACACCAATTCAGATTTCTCAAAGAAAGGCTCCTATAAATAAACTAATTGGACTATCACTTGATTTGTCTGTCAGATATGTAAGTATTTAGAACACTGTTTCAGCTGCTCTCATCTGTAAGATTAATGACTGCTTAAGAGTGCTTGATTCCATTTGTATGCCGGCTGTTCTTGTATAAAACAAACTGGGACTGTCTCAAGATAATCGGAGTACACTGTCTGCAGGATTTGGTGCCTGATACCTGGGAACTAGAAAAGGCAATTGAGGCTCTTAACTCATGGTTGAGACACTCATGACTGAAACACACTTAGAGCAGTTGCTGATTCCTGGGGACTTGTAAAAACAAGCACCTCCCCTTTTGCAGGTTCTGATTGGTGGAAAGATCTGAGCCAATATGGAGCCTTATGCATTGTTAACAAATTAACAAGAACCTAGGTGGTTTTAACTATGCAAACTAACAGTACTTCAGCGTTAACTACACAAATTAGTAATGCATTAAAAGATACAAATGCAAGATGAGTTATTCACAATCATAGACAAGCTGGAAATAATGTAATGTCCTTTCTCAGTGAAGTAGTCACTCACAGGCAAGGTGCTGGTGATAGGGGAATGAAAAAGAACGTAAAAGGGGATGATTTCACATACAAGTCCCAAAGACAGTGAACATTTCTGTATTTTCACTTCCTGTTGCACAAGTTCAAAAACAACTCTGCGATCATTATATCCTCTACATTGAAAAACAAAAGAAAATCAGTACCTAATGAGAGATGTGCATGGTTTTCTTAACCACACAACTGCTATCAAACGTATCTAAATGAAAATGAAAACTGATGAAAATCCCATTTTAGTATTTAAGATCAGCTAGTTGAAGGCAGAAGGACAGTCAACAAACATTGCTCAAGCTCTCGCTGCATTAGTAACTGCCAGTAAGGTATACGCCAGATCTGAAATAGTTTTCTGTTTCAAAATATAGCTGTTACCAGTTGCATATAATCACAGGAATGCTGGGTAGGGTAAGTTCACATAACCATGTATCCATCATCTCTATTTTATAGATGAGAAATTCCATAAAACCTTGTATATTGCAAGAATCAGTGATGTTACAGAGGGACAATTCTCCATGAGTCTGTCACATTTCTGCATGTTTTACAAAGATTCTTGATTGCCTTTTATTCTAGGCTATCTTTTCAAGGGTGTTAGGGAACAACCTTGGGAGATAGAGAGAATGTCTTCCTCTGGTGAAGGGTAGGAATGTTTACTGTCCATTATAAAGATTGGATTCTCTAAGCTCAGGGTCTCTCCTGAAACACAGCCCACTGTATTTGCAGGCATCCTTTAGAGTATACCAATGTTACCCCCATGAGACTTGGGAACAAGGAGATCTGACACTATACTGGTTCATGATGCATAAAAAATACATGTAAATATTTGTTATTATTTATCTTCACTTTCTAGAAGAGTAAACTGAGGAACACAGTTTGAGTAATTTCCTCAAGGTCACACAGGTAGAAAAGTGCAGATGTGGAAATTAATCTTAACTCGGACTCCAAAACCTGTGCTTTTAACCACTGCTGTTATCTCCAATAATAAAGGTTTACTGGATTTATAAGTAAAATCTTCACTATACAATTTCTTTACCTTTTACAACAGTGCTTTTTAATTTTTCAGTTCAGATTTGTGGTTTATTTATTGGCCATTCCTACAGAGCTCTTCGTACGAGTTCCACAAGAGCCTTATTTAAATTCACTCTGCTAATATTTTCACACCTGACATTTTGATGGTTGTCCTTTGAAATTGTATTCTTAAAATAATTATATTCATGGCTTTAAAAGTATAAGCCTAAACAAAGCTTCTGCTAGTGATAATAACAGACAGGTAATTTAAAATAAATAGTACTTCTAAAATACTAAACTCTAGATAATATGATTTGTTACTATTGCATTGCTCTAAGTATATACCAAAAACAGTGATTTTTTTCCATATAGTTTTCATTGTCAGTTCATCCTTCTCTTAGTCTTTAGTTACGTTAACAACATCAACAATTACCCTCAGTATATGGATTACAGCTTTTCTGTGAATGATAATAAGGGAAAATACAGCACTTTCTGAAACCCCCTATGTCTTATCTCTAGATTGTTACCTTTGACAGAGGAAAACTCTAGTGAATGCTTGTGAATAAAGAAATTACTATTTAAAGAACTCTGTGTCAATAAAAAGGTCAGTATTCATTTGATTTTACATATTATTTTGAGCTTCTAGAAAAGTATTTTTCATGTATGACAATGCTGCTTCTTTGACAAAGGAAAAAAATCAATGTAAGTTTGCAGTGCAAACTTAAATCCTGATTTATGATACCTGCTCAAAGGCTGGAAGCCTGTGAAAAGGGTTCTCTTTAGTTGTTCATAGCTATTTTTAAAATGTGAGATATTAATTTTAATGTCAATGTCTGGATTTCCAGAAGAGAAACTGTAGATTTTTTTCTTAATATAATAACACGATATCTTATATAAGTAGTTTGTGACAACACAAGAGAAGAGTTGCCAGAATTTCCACAGATTTAAGGATTCTAACTCAGCTCTCCCTGGTTGCAGATATACCCCATTTTTCCTTGGTCTGGTTCTGACCATATTATTCAAACCCAAAGCATATAATTATTGAAAGACTTCCTTAGTGTTTGACAGGTAATGTGATACAAGATTTGTCTTAAGCTACTTAAGATTTGTTTTAAGTAAGATCTGGGTATCACTTGTTACCACTATTCAAATACCCTTATCTTTGCCCATTTTCCTACTGTATTGTCTTTTTTTCTCATTGATTTATAGGAACTCTTTTTTTTTTAAGATTTTTTTTTGTTTTTAAGATTGATTTATTTATTTATACAAGCACTGGGTACAGTCAGAAGTGCGGGAGGGTGAGAGAATTCACCAGAGCCAGAGTGGGGAACAGAACAGGCAGACCGACGAAATAAACTGCTGAGGGGAGCAGCAGGTGCGGCAGGAGAGGTCTGCATGCCATGTGGGACCCTCGCCGGTGGCTGGGGATCGAACTGGTGCTGCAGAGTCTGTGGGCAGCTTCGCAACCCAGCGCTCAACCACTGCGCTACCAGGGGAGGCCCAGATTTATAGAAACTCTTTATTAAAGATATGAATATATATGTTGCAATTATTTTCTCCTTGCCTGTAATTTTGCTTACATTCCATTTTACTGAAGAGAAATCTTTTTGATAATGCTGTATTTTTCTAAGCAGGAATTTAAAAATTTTATTTAGCCAAATTAGTCAAATATGTTCTATGGCTTCTAGTTTTTTTTGGTCATGAATAATCTCCCTCTTGCCAAGATTTTAATTTTCTCGTTGACATTTACACATTTACTGAAATAGGCTATCATTTCCCCTTTGAAAAGAAAAACTATTTTTGGCAACACTAAATTCACATTGTAAATGTGGATATGTGTTATTCCTGTACCAGACTACTTTACATATTATAGCTTTTTGATACATATTCCGATATATAATGGAAACAATTCCTATTTATTTTTCTATTTCAAAATATTATTAGTATTCATAGTTTTCTTTTTCCAGATAAATTATACTATCTGTTAAGTTCCAGAAAAGAAAATGAGTTGTGATTCTAATTGAAATGGTACAAAATGTGTATATTAACATTGGGAGCACTGAAATCTTTACATTGCTGAATTTTCCATCAAGGAAAAATGAGATAATGTTCATTTATTCAGATTCCATTAAAATATTATAGTTTTTTATTTTATGTGCTTTCTTTTTATAATAGAATGGCTTATTGTTATAACTGCACTTAGCTGGTAACACAGAATAAATAAACTTCAAAGATCTGTCTGAGAACAGAATTTAAACTCATTCCTGTTCAATAATTATCTAGAACCTAATTGAAAGAGACACAATACTTAATTGTTTAAAAACTAGAACAGCAAAAAAAAAAAAAAATGTGGTTTTGGCCTGCACCAGGCTAAATAATGTGGTGTTTATTATTATTATACTGTATTATACTGTATTATTATTATACTGTATTATACTGTGTCATAGTGGCTGTGCATGGAACTTTTGCCTCATTCCTTTTATTAGGCCATCGGACTATGAAAACTCTTTTCAGAACTTACTAGGAGGTTGTTTTTCAAAGATGTATTTTCTGTGTTACATTTATCATGTGTATGAAGCTCTCAAAGAGGAATTCCTCTGGTCTTTGTTCCTTCTGAGGAACTGCTCTGTGATTTTAGCTAGTAGACCCTATCATACATCATGTAACTGATAGCATTTTCCTCTGCACTGGCAGCTTGAAGCGCAGAGTCAAATTTTCACTCACCTGTAACAAACCATAGGTTTTTCATGGATGTATTTGAATTCTAGGCTTATTACTTGCCTTTAAACTAATCACAGTTATGGCTGCTATTATTTTATTTTTATTTTGTTGTATCATATATATCTTTATAATCCACTTAAAATACTTTCTGGATCAAATCAGACTTGAAAGTGCTTAGACATGTTTATATCCCATAATCCATGCTCTAACTAATTCATGAATATGCATGATCAATTTAAGTGCCACACTATTTCATATAAAGAACACTTCTAAATCTTTTATTTAAAGAAAGAAAATAAAATAAAATGGTCAACTTCATATAAAGTGTATAAATAAAATTTTTGCTTGAATCCCTTTTGTGTTCATTTGATAGTTCAGAAATTTCGGTAAAGTTCTGCCTCTCTACTTCTTAACTTTATCAGTCCGCCTGGAGAAAACATGAGGTCAACTATGTACCTTTCAAGGGGTGGGACACCCCCAATCACTCCCTTACGAGTTTCACTCAATAGCTTAACTTCATTCCAGGCTCTGCCATACTCCCCTCGAGCCAGAGAGCAACCTACGCCAATTTTGTCAGCCAGAGCCTGTGGGAGAAAACATGAGAGCAACCAAGAGTGAGAAGGAAGAGAAGCAAAGAAAAATCCTTTGTTGTAAGGCCTACCTTGGGTGAAGGTGAAATAGGCAACTCTTGCAAAGAAGTGCTTAGAAGGGAGGCTGAAAAAATGTGGAGTATTGTGATAAGAAGCAATAAAATGTACGAAGATATATTTATAGAGCAGGAAATCCAAGGAAATAGCAAAGACTGGTAGTTAGATTCCAAATAGAATTGACTTGTAACTGGAGACAAGATACATAAGGATGAAGTGAGGTGTTTGGGAGAGGGTGGGAATTTTATATATTCATTCTACAGTTCAGAAAGCATTTTCTCAGGTCCATTATATATCAGACATTGGATATGATGGAGCAAAAGATCAACCCCTCTCTGAAATGTAATCTTTTTCTAGTGGCCTCCATCTCAGTGAATGCTGGCAGCATAACCACTTGCTTACCCAAATGAATTGAAATAATTTTGCTCTTCTCATGCAATACCTCACTCCACACTCAGGCAATCACTAAGTCTTAGTTCTAAAACTCCCTCTAAATTCATGACCTCTTCTGCCTCCTCACAATCATGGCTTTGGTAGATCTGAGCAGAATCTCACTCTTTTAGGTCCAGAGTAACCTTCTAGTTGCTCTTCCTGTCTCCAGTCTTGCCCCTGCTCTATGTCATTCCCCATTCTGTGCCTGATTCACCTTTCAAAATTATGTTGCCCCTCTCCCCTATTCAGATTTTCAGTGGTTTACCTGGTGGTATCCTTTAGTCTTATGTAACTCTTCATTCAAATTCCTCTAGATTCCACAAATGGATGATGGACTCTCAAATCTGTTATTCTGTATAAAATGTTTACTCTGCTTAGAATGCTTTTGTCTTACTTCTTTACCTGATGAAATTCTAGGTAGTCTCTAATACTCAAGCAATGTTTCACTTTTTCTCCAGAAGCCTCTCCTGATATCTCTCTGGAGTCCACAAAGTTCTGGATAAGATACACCTGGTGTGCAGCTTAGTATCTGCATACTCTCAGGCCCTAAAAAAGGCCTGACCTACAGTAGGTGAATGACAAATATTGAATGAAAATACTTCTAATAGTTTGGTGAATACATATGTATATATGTATATATATATGTATATATATGTATATATGTATGTGTGTATATATATATATGTAGAGCTATATACTATATGTATGTCAAATGTAAGCACATCTAAATGATAGGATATTTATCCAGCAAAATGTTACCATCTAGCTCACTCCATTATGATAAAGACAAAACATTTTTCTCATAATGACAAATTAAATACCTTGAAAAGCAAAGCTCGATGGTAGAAGATTCCTTTTTTGATGAGCCCAATTGGTATAACATTGGATTTAAGTTGAAATTTTAGTTCACTTATATGATGTTCCCAGTTGAATTCGTTAAGTTTCTCTTTTGAAACTTTACCACCCATTTTTTCTGCCACATACCTGTGTCAATCAAAATAAGATCAGACCAATCAAGTTTAATATCTCACTTTGGATGCTTTCAACGTAGTTACATGTATAAAAACTATTCCCTCTGACTTTGTTTGCTATGCTTTTTAAAATGTATTTAATACAATGGGGTTAGCGTTATAATTAAAATATTTAAACTGTCACATATAAAAATAAAATTCTAACAATTCCACTCAACACAAAGTATTGTTAATATTCCCCAATACCTATGACAAGAAACAAATCATATTATATGAAATTTGTAATCAATGCAGTTTTTAAATGTCATCTTTCCCTTGCAAAGTATTTTTAAATGTTTAAATATAAAACCCAAGGCTTGTACAAATATATGGTCCTTCTTTTAAGAAGGTTAAAAGACCTTTTAACAAAGGTCCTTGACTTTTTAGAAAGTCAATCTCAGAGAAAAAACAGATAATTTTTAATTACATTCAAATACTTTCAAGTTTAATAATTTTTTTGTTTTAATTTTTTCTTTTAATTTAGAGAAAGACAAAGTATCTTAACACTGAAGTTAGAAGAGAGAAGAAAAGGCAAAAAGGAAAAATAAGTAACTTAGGTGGGGCGTGGGAAGGGGTATATACTTAGCCTGTGGGTTTCTCCTAGTATTAGGCTGTCACTCAAGAAGTCAGTCAACACACTTGCAAAAACCCTATCAACTAAGGCTACTACACTCTTGGGGCAAAGACTGAGATGCAGATTTTAGAGAAAGAATTTCCACTTACTGTATGTGGAACTAAGTGAGAAAAGTGATGTTAAAAAGAGAGAGAAAATGAACAAGAGAAAGGTTGGGCAGAGGGCAGCTGTGCTGACCCTCTGCTCCGCCCAGTCAGCGTGCCTATGGTGCTGAGGAACCAAAAGCTTGGGGGCAGATCTCTGTCTCTCTTGCCTGGTGTGGGGTCAGGGTAAAATACAGTGATTATTTGGAAATGATGGAAAGTGTTTCTGGCAGGAACAAAGCCTGAGGAAATTTGACTCATGGTGAAATGAGCTGAATGAGAGCTCGGATGAGTCATCACTCCTCAAGGACATCAGGAAAACTTCAATAGCCAAAAATGTTCTCTCCCACTTCTGACTGAGAAGTCAATAATCTGGTGGCTGTTTCTTACAGATGTCACATCCAGGTTGCTGATAGGAACCCACTGCTATTTGCAGTAGTACAAGGCCCCACAGAGATGGCAGCTGTTATATCATGCAGCAGCAGCTCCTCCCCAGTTAGTGTCAATCACGATGCTATCATCCATTTCTAGTGATTCCTAACCCCTCACACCTCTCATGGGAAGTTTGCAGCCTCTTCTTAGTGGCATCAGATTAAGTGCTGTAATGAAGAAGGCCATGTCGCTGCCTTACCCAGAGCTCTGAGTGTGCCCAAACAGTAAAACCCCCCTTCAGAGCAATGCCAAGCACAAAATATCTGACTTATAACAATAGGGTAGGAATGACTATTTTTGTTAGAGATTAAATTGTGAATTTATAAATAATTTACAATAGGGTTTTTTTTTAAATGTGAGACCCCTCCCCCCATTTAAGGAATAATTTAATTTTCAGACTTTTAATTCATTCACAAGAACTCAGGATTACACTGAAAGATGTTTTTAATGGTTTAGCTTGAGAAAATAACATAAGCATTTTTTCTATAACCAATTTCCAGCTCCTTGCTCTGATTTTTGTTGCCTAAAATAGAAATTAAGATTTTTTTGGTCAATTATTTGTATTTCTACTTCAGAATCAGAGGTGAGGTGCTACAATGTTCTATTTTGTTATGGTATAGCTGCCTGAAAATTAGCTAAAAAATGCAAGCCATTAAAGTAAATTTTTTTTTCAAAAATTAAAAATGTTTATGTACTTATAGACAACTTACTTTGCAAGAGTCTCAATCTGTTCCTTAATATTCGTTATGGGAAGTATTGATTTGGTCACTTCATGCACATAAACACAGAAGTCAGGGTCACAGGGAGGGTAACATTCTTTTTCAGGGCTTCCTTCTCCAGTATATTTTTCTTCTTCTTTCTCTCCTTTGGCTTTCCTTTGAGAGTAAACAGCAGCAATCCAAATCACAAAACAAACAAATATTAAATGTTCTGTGAGTTAATCTCAAGAGCACTACAGAAATACAGTATTTTATGACTCAACAATCATATCATATATAGTTTTCAGATTTTCAATGGTAGTTTTATACTTTATATATTATATAGGAGCCATTAATTTTCAAGATGGCTACATGATAGTTACATATTATAAAAACCATATACTGGTTTTCTGCACAATTGCTATGATGACTGATTACACAGTGAGTATATAATAAACATGCACTGAATTGAAAAAAAATAGATTACCTTTCCAAGGCAGTTACATCTTGCTTTGGTTGTGACTTTCTGCAAGCAGAATTTGTATTATAAATTTTAAAGAAAATTATCAAAAACGTGGAAAAAATCCAAAAGAAAATAATGATGGTACATAATTTTTATGTCATTTGGAGGGGCAAAGACTTCTGATGTTTATGGAGGCAAATGTACTTAGTTTAATATATGGTAAAATTGGAATGTACTTTAAACAGTAAAACTATTATTTAATTAAAAGGTAATATTAATAAAAAATTCCTGACTTAGAGAAGGTATAGTTAACAACATAATTTTTTTTTGTAGTCAAGATACCAATCTTTAGAGAAAAGATTCTCCCCAAAAGTTATATAGAGCATTGTCCTGTAGAATGTTAACCATTTTTTATGTAAGTCATCAATCTTTTTCTAACATTCCTTAATTAAATTGGTTATAAATATCTAGTTCCTTAAATGTTCTTAGAACCAGTGTTGATATTTCACTGATCCTATCATTAAACACACTTTACCCTGTCTCTCTTACCGAATAAAGGCATAGAACATGAACAAGATGCACGCAAAAGGTATTTGAAGATTCTGAAAAGTAAGTAGTGACTGGAAGAGTAGTGCAGGCCATCAACTGATGGTGGATTTAAAGAGTAAAGGAGAGACAAAGCTACTTTTTTAACGTATCTTATGAGTCCTGCCACTTCAACATACTGATACCATAAGGGAAACTTACCATTTAAAAACTAACCCATCCTTTCACTGACTTTGTTATATAATTAAAATATAATGTGATTATAATTAGAATATAATAATACATTTCCTACCTTAATGCTCTTTCTTTGATGGCACTTTTGCTGCTAAGAGCTGTATTTCGTCCTGAAGTCGGTTCTGATTTCTCTTCGGTGGGAGATCCAGTTCCAGCACTATAATGGTAATTGTTTTTCCTTATCATTTGAAGGAGAAACCACAGTTTCAAATAGATGAAAAATAACGACATGTTACATTTACAAGGCATTTAATAAACTACAAGGCATTCACATTTTTTTAATATGCTTTAATTCCTTTCACCATTATGAAGCAGACTCCAGGCAAGAGTCCATCTACAGCCAAGGGAACCAAGCCTGCTCCTGGACACGAGGTGCTGTTGTCAGGTCTCTCTGTAGGTTCACAGCAGACACAGTGTGAACCTAGGTTTTTTGACTCCCTTTTCAAAGCCTTTTCCACAGCAATTTTAAAAGCATCTGTGAAATCATATCACTGGAAGAATAAGAATCAAGTTGCCAAAATCCAAAACCTACATTTTTTTTTTTTTGTTCCTAAGTTTAACAGGAGAAATATTTGAGTATAGACAAAACTTCATTCTTTTACATGGGCTTTTCTTTACTGATGCTCCTTAAAGAAACTGAAGAAATACTTCATCCATAACCAATGACTAGATGGAGGTGGGTAATTAAAATTTTACATATTTGAATTTATGTTCAATTAGATTAATTTGTCAGCTTTGGCTTTGTCCTATAAAAGATTTTTTAAATCATGTTTGGATCTGATTTTTTTTTTACAGTAAATATTTTATTTATTTTTTAAAAGATTTATTTATTTATGCATACAAGAACTGGGGTATAGGCCAGAGATGCGGGGGGTGACAGGATTTATCAGAGACAGAGTGGCGAACAGAACAGGCAGACTGACTGAAATACACTGCTGCGGGGAGCAGCGGGTAAGTCAGGAGAAGTGTGCTGCACCGCGTGGGCAGCTCCCTGGGCGGGGATCAAACTCGTGCTGCAGAGGCTGCAGATTGCTTCATAGGTTGTCTTAAGCCCTTGCGCCACCAGGGAGGCCCAACAGTAAAAATTTAAAGCATAAAGGAGAGGTTAAGAAAAGGCAAATAGAATATTATAGAGCTCTTTGTGAGCCGAAAAGGGAATATTTTTATAAAATATACAGATACAATAGCATATATGACATCTTAATATCTTTTGAGGTCTTTGATCTGCTTATGTCTTCAGTCAGAAGGCTTCAGGTCCTGACTTTGTGTGTGTCTGCACAGGAAGCATTGAGTGTCCTCACAACATGGCAGCTAGCTTTCCCTTGGCTACAACTATGAGAAAAATAACAAGTGTGGGCACTGCAAAGTCTCTTGTGATGTAAGCTTGGAAGTCATATTGTCATTCCCTGTTGGTTTCACAATTCAGCCCTGTTCAATGTAGGACAGGACTACATCACAGTAGCAAGATGTAGGAAAGTTCAGGAACTATTTTGAGGTCTTTTTACTACAACCATGATGCTTAAGTCTACTTGTGAGAACAGTTGATGTGGAAACAGCAAGAGTCTGAGAGTGGAACTGTGGAGGGGCCACAAAATGTTTTTGGGGTGAAATTGATTAAAAGGTATAAATTCAAGGTCATAATTTCATAGAACACCCATGTATTGAGCAGATTTTTTTCCTTAGAAATCAGAAGACTACGTCCTCTGGTTTTCTGCTCACAATCATACACTATTTGTCATGGTGAAAAATGTAGGTCACTGAACAGTCACTTGAATTAGCTATTATTGGCAGTGATAGTACATTCTCTCTTTTTAAGTTTTGAGTGTAGTTATTATCTGGCTTTTTTTTACTGATATGATGTCAATTTACATCATCATTTGTGTCTTAGAGGTATAGGGTCTCCCCCTTCAAGTGCTGGTGCTACATCACACCCACCACCAAAGCACACACAGTCCAGCCCTATAGACTGTTGTGCTCCTTTCCCACTTTGTTCTCACCCCTCCTATTCAGTATATGACCATATTAAAGAAGAGTGTTGAAGTTTTCTTAGTTCAACTATTTATTTCTTATTTTAACAAGAAATAGTAGTGTAGTTGTACACCTGCATATATTCTGGAGACTTGTAAACATGTTTCATCTTATTTTGTCCCAATCAACTTATACCTTCTTCATTTACTTCATGTTACCAGGGATTAAGATGTCTTGACTGCAGAAATACATATAAAATCGACTGATAACATGGGGGTTAAAGGAAAAATGATGGTGGCAGTTCAATTCTATGGTCTTTGTTATGGCGGGTTATGGGTTTATGGACCAGTGTTTACTTTCATGGTAGTGCTATATTTAGGAAAAAGGAGATACACATGCTGGTATCTTTATTCACGTGATGATGGGCAAACAAAAAATTACATGCTTCCCTGCATCCCTCTTCCCTCCAAATACTCACACATCAGAAGGTTTACTGTTAATTAGGAGTATAGTACGCAGACCACTTGGTTCTTGCAAGCAGAGTTCCTTCAAAGGCAATAGTTTGGTGCCACGATTTATCTGTAGATAATTTAAGGACTTATAAGCAATATCTGCATGGGCATATTTTAAAAAATAAATATTGATAGCATATGTTTTCAACGGTTTATGTTGTTTAAGTTTTTTTTTTCTCTCTCTCTCTTCTTCACACACACACACACACACACACACACACACAGGCTTATATATACACACAATTAGAATAGGAGCTTGAAATGTGTGGAACTCTTGCCTTTGGGCAGGATATATATCTTTAGTTTCCTACAACCACTATTGCTTATACTCAGTTGTTTCTCACCACAATTACCACCTTGACACCTGAAAATAGTTGAGTTTGTAAATCCATCTATATACAAAAGGAAGAACATACTGTCTGTAAAAAATAAAATATTAGTTGACAAATATCAGGATGTCTAAAAATGGGCCAAAGTCCTGCACTGATAATTCTACCAGCCTGATGAACAGAGTTAGATCAGAACACAGTCTGAGGTCTTTTTCCAGTCAAGTTACAGTTGGATCCCTTTTTCATCCAAGATAGTTATCCTAATCATTTTAAAGTAAAATCGATGATGACACTGAGCCCAGAATTCTGCCATAGTTTCCAACTTCATTCAGAGTAAAGGCCAAAATCCTTCCCATGTTCTAGAAGACTTCTCTCTCCTTCTCTGATAGAGTCTCAAGTCTCCTGCCCTTCGGTTCATTCAGCTCTAGCTACACTGAATTTGCTGTTGCTTCCATATGCCAAACATGTTTATATCTTACATCTGCTGCACTAGTTGTTTCCTCTGCTATAAAGCTCTTCCCCCTAAGTATTTTATTTCCTTTAGGATTTTGCTCAGATATTATCCTCTCAGTGAGGTCTAACTGACCACAATGTCTAAAATTACAACCACCAACCCCATCACTGTAAAGTTCCTTTACAGTGCTTCTGCTGTACTGCTTCCATCCACAGATCTTATTTCAACCCTGTGATATAATCATGTATCTCCCTTCACTAGTACCATAGGATAAGAGATATTTGTCTTTTTTGTTCACTGCAATTTTAAAAAAATGAAAAGCACAACAATGAGAAAAATCCAGTGGGAGGATAAAGATCTCCATTTAGGAATTAAATTGGAATTATAATTTGCCATTCTCCATAATCCAAATATCCAAATCATAATTCTTCAAAAGCTCTGGTCTGCTTCAGGCCAGGCAGGCAGATTTGAGATTTTCCTCTTGCCTCCTTGCCAATGGACCTGCCAATAAAACACTCTTTTTCAAAATCTGGTGCCACAACATTGGCTTTTATGCCTACTGGGCAATGAAAACTGGTTCAGTAACATAGATGTTTTTCATTTTTCACAATAACTCTAATTCTGTTACGAAGATAGAGTTTTCCCTGCAAATATGAAGCTATATATTTCTTTTATAGGACTGTCTCTTCTGATTTTTTGAACAAATTGTTCGCGGTGAGCTTCCATTGCCAGACTTACCACTTTCTCTCAATCCTACACCACCTGACTGACAAAGCACATAACCTTTCTACCTCTGAATTTTCTCATCATCTCAGGAAGTACGGTTGATCCTTGAACAACACAGGTTTGAACTACTGCAGATCCAGACATTTTTTTTTCCTAGTCACTGGATTCTACATTTGGGGTTTGGTATTCATGGGTTCAATCATCCGCAATGATGGTTATCTAAACCTACCCAATTAGAAGCCACAGATACGGAGTGCTAAGTCATAACTGAATTTTCCACTAAGCATGGCAGTGAGCATACCTTACTCTCTTGTTGTTCAAGAATCAACTGAAGGTATTTTTGATTGTGCTTTCTGAGATCTGTCTATTCCCTCTATCATTCTTTTGAACTATTTTTTCCCTTTACATTCATTCTCCTGCAGTTTCTCCCTGATCTTAGGCGCTTTTAGTAAACCTTAATTTTTTTTTGAAGGTTGTGTTTTTGCCTAAAATGGGATTTGTGGGTCTTAAAAATTTCCCCAATTCTCTTTGCTGCTTTTGTTTTCCAGAAGAAGTAGAAAACATTGTCTTTAATAGCACTGTGGAAAAGTCCTCAAGATTCAAATTTTGAGTTTCCTATTTCTCAACACTAATATTGAATTACACTATATGTTTTTAAAACCATAATTGGAAAGTCAGCTGAGCAAAATACTATTCTTCTATATTACATTTTTAAATCCAGTATTATAATTTGATTAATTTCACCAAGACTATAATTAACAAAATGAAAAAAATACACTTCTAATCTCTGAACCAGAACACTTAAGATAACAGAATCCTAACACTGAAAATGCCCCTTCTTTTTTATTTTCTCTGAAACTTGAGAATAGCATTAGTAAGTTGATTTAAGTATAAGTATTCAGATTCCAGCTTAAACTATGTACAGAAGGGCCTCCCTGGTGATACAAAGGTTAAGCATAGCACTGTGAAGCTATCCGCAGCCTCTGCAGCATGAGTTCAAGTTCGATCCCCACATGGCGCAGCAGACCTCTGCTGTCTCGCCCCCTGTTTCCCTCAGCAGTGTATTTCAGTCCATTTGCCTGTTCTGCTCCCCACTCTGTCTCTGGTGAATCTTCTTATCCCCTGCACCACTGGCCTGTATCCCAGTTCTTGTATGCATAAATAAATCTTAAAAAAAAAAATGAACCATATACAGAAGTAAAATGTTACAGCTGGACAAAGTGAAGGATAAAATTCTGTCAATTTCCTGTCTAAAAAAAGATAAATTGTTAGTTGGTGATAAAATTGCAATGTAGTTGCATTGTGATTAAAGAAGAAATTATCACACATTAAAATATAATTTAGTGCTGCCACTTACCCGACCATAATCATAGAATCCATCACTAATTATATTACTTGATGACAAATAGCCCGTCTGGCTATATTTCAGAGACAGGTTGTTGTTGAGCAGTTTGTTATAAGCTGCCTCACTGAATTTATTTTGTCGAGTTACTGAAAGATTAATCTCTTCAAGGATATCTAAAGTTCTGTCAATTAAAGAAAAAGCACTAATTGTTTTATACAAGCAACCCAACCTTAAGTTTTTATTTATGCACTTGGCTAAAAATCTCAAAGAAGAACTGAGATGAAAGTTGTAAAGCCATCCCTAAACCTTTTAGATAAAGTAATAATGACAGAATTATGAAAACAAATCAATCCTTTTTGGGAACAATATGCCATGTAGTAACAAACATTAAAACAGTTGAAAGGGATAGTTTCAGGAGAAAAAAATTTTCATTTAAAGCAGAAGCCACATTAGATCCAACTTTTTCAGTCAAACAGGCAGTCTATACAAAGAATACAAATGGTTAGAAATAGAGTGAACCTTAAAAACCTTAAAACCTGTGAAACCTTAAAACCCTTTTTTCTGACATGCTGGAGGCAACTTGCTCATCTGCTGATAGGAAAGAGTTTGGTCAGGGAGCTAAATGCTGCTGAAATTCTGATGGAAAGGTTCGGGTGGGGAGGAGAAAAATGGAGATGGCAGTCATGGATCATCCCTTTGATTTTAGCTTTGAAAGTCAAGACACAAACAGGATTGTGTTTCGCAACAGCAAAGGGAAGTGAAAGAGAAACATTTATCAAGATGAAAAACGTGGAGGGGTGGGTCAAGCAGGTAAACTGAGTCAGTCGTGTGCTGGAGGATGGAAACTGGTCTTTGGGTGGTGAACACAGTGTCCTATGAACAGATGCTGAATTGTAATGCTGTACAATGAACACCTATAGAATATTATAAATCAGGTTACTTCAATATTTTTCATTATTTTTTTAGTAAAAATAAATTTAAAGATGAAAAGGTGTAAAAAGAAATACTGAATATGATTCTGCAAAGGTGGTGCGGTAGCTCTGGGGCATTTGGGGTGGGGCATGGGTGCCTTTTCCCCAGGCAGTCCTTCCAGAGGGAAGAATTATGCTTCCGAGTAGGAGCAGACCCTTTTTGACTTTCTGTGAGCCAGCAGCATGAGTTGCTACATTGTCTGCTCTTCATCTGCGCCAGAAACTTGACACAGCACCCACTCACCCAAGCCGGAAAAATTCAGTGGCCATCAATTCATCGCCGGCGCAGACCATCACAGCCCAGCTGGCGTGCCTTCGGACCTCGCTATTCTTGGAGCGCAGGAGCTCTACCAGGGGTTGCAGCCCCCCTAAATTTCTTAACTGAAAGTAGACACCAAAATGCGATGCATTAAGTGTACAGAATGTAAACCTTTGTGCTTTAAACTATCTCATTATTTGATTGTGAAAGGATTTCTCTATGGAGAAAAGAGCCACAGCAGCAAGAGACTTGCTGGATTGCAGGGTTACAGGGTAGACTCTTGTTTGCCAGATAACGCCAGTTGGTCTTGTAAAAGGCTGCACCAATCTTAAAAAACTTGAAAGACGGGTTGGTTCAAACACTTGAAACTGTTTCTAAGTGGTCCACCCATAAGCGTGGCCTGGGAACATGAGAGAATCCATGTTCCTAGAACTCTCACCTCTGTCCGGGCCTCAAAGTCGGAGGCTGTGGCAGCAACAGCCAGAGCCGCCTTGCTCTGCACGACGGTGTTGGCGGAATGCAGAGGGCCGAGGAGGGCCTGCATGATCCCCCGGGTCTGCATGTGCACGCGCAGAGGCTCCAGCGTGGCCATGTTGGTTAAGGCGGTGGCCGCGTAGGCAATGGCTCCATCTCGTTTGCTGGCTAGGATGTTTATTAATGGGCCAATTCCATCAGCTTCTGCAACAGCGCTGGGCACACGAAGGAGAGGTGAAACTATCTTGGTGCATATGACAAAGTTTATAAAGAAATGAGTACATAAATTAATTTTAGAAGTAAATTAAATTAGTTTCAATGAGATGGATCCAGAATTAAAAGGAATCTGGGAGCATGGCAGGCATGAAAGAATTTTCAAAATTCTTTTTGTACTTTTATAGCTGGGGTTATGGAAAAACGTATAGACTGCTTCTTAGAAACCCTACTATTTCTGTTCATTTGTAAACTTAGTGATAGTTACATGAAATAGAGCATTATATTTAATGGAGCATGAAAGTCTACTAAAATACTCCTAACCAAAGAAAACAAAACTTTAAATAGGAAGAATGAGTCAGCATGAGAACTTAAAATTCTTTAGCCCATGATCCTTTTTCAACTGTGGTCATCAAGTGCAGGCAGGTTAACACATTTGAAACCAGAAAATCATTTTGGTGATGGTGTTGTTTTTACAAATCAAACATCAAAGATTAATATCATAATATTGATATAAACAGATAATTTAGTAACACAGGCATATCGGTTGTTACATTTCCTATTTCCAGCATAAAGAGTACAGTCACCCATTGCTATAGTAATAATTTTCACAATTATAAAATCTAGAGTTTTAAGAGTAACACATGTGCCATATCCTTGCTTTGTAATACCTTAACTACTTTGTAATAACTTAAATACATTTTACTTGAAAAAATAGTAAAAATTTTTAAAAGATCACTTTAACAAATGTAGATAATTACATTCTGTAATGTTTGGAGCTACTATATGCAAATAAGAGATGTTCCAAGCAATAAAATACAGATAGCATGCTGTTTTTACAAGAATATCTCAAGTTATGTGTTAAAAATCCATTTAAATCAACATGGTAATAGAGGTAATCAAGACAATAAAAACTTGAGACTCCAGTAATTTGAACATCTTTACATATTTGCATTTAGGATCATATTAACAACCAAAATTGAAAAAATTGGTGCTGTTTGATTTAGACCATCCCCTGGATTCTGATGAAGTTAGATTGAATTTCATACTATGCTGACATTTTCTGTTTGTGAATAAGAATTGGCAACGTCAAGAACAGAAGTTATCACGGCTATCCATCAGAGAGCAGACCACAAATAAAATCTCTATCAGGAGATTGTTAGCTATAGGTGAAAGGAAGCTGTAATTATACAACTAACCAGGTCTTGAAGGAGCCAGAACAGCAGGGATTGGGTAGGCCAGAGCTGCCTTGCCTCTGCACGATGGTGTTGGTGGAATGCAGAGGGCCGAAGAGGGCCTGCATGACACCCCCCCCCCCCGACTCTGGATGTGCATGCGCAGAGGCTCCAGCATGGCCATGTTGGTTACCAAAGATTAGAGTGGGCAGCTCTGGAATGAGGGGCTCAGATGGTGTTAGCTTTAAATGAAACGTCCACCCTGGCTTATATGACTGCTCCCAGAAATACACCATGTCTTGATACCAGGCAAAATTGGTACCCAGTTCCATTTCTCCCATATTTCAGTCCTTGGCATGTACTTAGTCCTTCCTGTGGCATTCCCATTTTCTCTCTGGAAAGGCATCCCTTAAAACTAAAATTCAGTTAGATAGCTTGTATATAAAAATAATGGAAGGTCCTATATCTCAATGTGATAAGGGGCCCGCATTAAATTTCCTTTCCTGGGGGATAAAATAAACACTCAAGATAATTTTACTTTTAATTTCTCTTACATTATAAATTGACTTGAAGGTCACTTGATTTTATGAATAAGGGAACATTTGGAGGTTTTAACATAACAGTTTATAAAAAATTCTCAAATTTTTAAAGAGTTGAAACACTGAATTTTAAAATACTTGCCAGCAAGAATTTAAGTTATGCTTTCTTATAATTACTATGCCCTTAACTCTTTAGTTAAAAAATCTTGTTTTCCTTTCACTTGCTATTCAATCATTAATGCAATCAGTACCTTAAACCAAACACTTGGTAGATTTTCATCATTATAAACAATGCACAGTTCCTTTATTACTTAGTGGTTTTTTTCTTTGATAATGTTCACTTGTAAAAATGTCTTGGATGGTAAATTAAGAGTATACAATGGAGGTAATTCAAGGGCATGTTTGACAGAAGCCAGAGTATTTTAGGTAAATGCATACTTAAATATCAGAGACTTAGTGTTTTTGTGAATCAGGAAGTTTTGGGGAAATTTCAGTGCATAGGATCACACTCCATCATTTGCGCTTCTCTATTAAAATTGAGTCATGAGATCCAGGAATTTTCATCAGGTGTATCTCTACATACAGCCTTTTTACTGGGGTTGTGTCTGGCCTTGGTTCATTTCTGTATCTTCTGCTCTTTTCTTTGCTCTTTATGGAGGCAGTAAAGGGATTTACTTAAAGAATATAGCTGTTTAAAAATCCAGAGTTTCTAGTACACAGTGGAATAGAGCTTTTACTAGATTGAACATAACTGCCATCATCAAAAGACAAACACTACATGCACAGCTGGGAGCACAACTTGCGTCATATATATGTCTGCTGTGAGTCCCTGCGTGCAGCTCTGATTAAGTGTAAAAAGCACAACTGAGGTTAAGTTAACATAGTGAAAAAAATCAAGCTACTGCTCATAGTTTTAAAAAAACTAATTTCATATCTAGAATTAGAGTGTAGACTCTGTATTTTTTCCAAAGAATTGCATTAATTTTTCTTCAAACCCAAGACATACTGTTTTACTTTTCCCTGGTTAGTGTAGCATTACCCATATGAATGGGACGGAAGTCAAACTGCTTTGTTACAAAATGAGAATTAGAGGGACATATGTCATCACAATAATCTGAAAATATTTTCTAATATTTACTATGATTAACTTCCATCCAGATGGAGTTAAATCAAATAAGAATTTAACATGTAAACTGAAAAAGACTAAACACCAAATACAGGCATGTATAAAAACATCTGCTTATACCATTTGATACATGTAAACAGAAGTGAGGTTTGACATGTCATGTGTATCCAATTTATCACAGAGTCCTATTTTCCTCCTTCATACTTCTTCTATTTCCCCTTTTCTCCATATCCATTTCACCCACCAAATCCAAACCAGCACCCTCTCTTGTGGACTGATACACTCTCCTAACAGGTCTCTCCTCTCCTCTTTTAATCCTTTCTCCATCTCACAACAAAACTGAGTTTTAAAATAATGAATGTAATCATGTTTACCTCCTATTTGAAACTTCCATGGTTTCCCATTGCTCAGGATGAAACCCCAAATTTCCCCCATGGCGTCCAAGGCCCTGTGAGAGTGGACCCGCCTTCCTCACCAGCCCCACACCAGCCCCACCACTACCTCCTTCCTGTCTCAGTGTTGAGGCCTCGCTGGTGGCCTCGCTGGTGACCTCGCTGTCTCACCTCAGTGCCTCTCCTGTGCTGTTCCACTTCCTGACACCTCTTCCCCTTGGATAAATTCCATTCAGCTTTCAAGGTCTGGTATAAATATCTCTCCCTCAAGGAAGCATACTTTCACCCCAAAACTGAGTCAGGGTTCTACTTTACATGAGCTCAGAGCAGTCCTTTACTAAACATATGTTTTTTTCTTTTTCTTTCTTTTTTTTTTTTAAATGTTTTGGCACAAATGTTCAGACAACAGTAATAAACTTGAAGGAATATTTCAGAGAACTTGGCTGGAAAGAAATTCAACATAATTTTTATGTTAGTCCCCTAACTCCACAGTGCAAAAGCATTCACATCTTGGGCACTAGAATATTGTTAAGTAGAAATCAATTACACACAGTGTCTATTTCCAAATCACTGAAAATACTCTGCGATTTCATGTCTGTGTGCTTTGGCACTCATGTTCCTCTTGCTCGAAACCCCCTTCCCTTCCCCTATCCACACCTCTGCCTGAGGAACTCTAGTTTGCCTTCCAAACCGGCTCAACTGTCCTCTTTGTGAAGTCACCCACATCCTTCATGCCCCCCCCGAGTTCACCACTCACACCTGCATGATATGTCTGCACCTGGCACCTGCTCTCTGAGGCATTATTTGAGTCTTATTTATTGCCCTGGTGCTGAGAAAATCAATACACGGTTGTTTCTTGAACATGGGCTTGAACTGTGCGGGACACTAATAGATGAGTAGAAACCCCACCAGAGGAATTAGCAGAAGATGACTTAATGGAGATGAGCACTTCTGAATCAGTGCCAGTCGATAAGGAAGCTGTAGAAGAGGCAGTGCCAGAAAATATACTGACATTAGACAGTGTGCAGGGGATTCAGATTATTCAACTGCTTTAGACTTCTTTTAAAACATGGATATTTCAGAGTTTCAGGCATTGAAACTAAAGCAAACCCTGGAAGGAGGATTGTTATCATATAGAAACACTTGTAGAGAAATGAAAAAGCAAAACCGTAAGATAAAAATCACCAGGTAGCTCCATAAATTTACACCAAAAGTGTCTGCCTCTTCCTGCTTCCCCTGCCACCTCTTCAACCAACCTTTGCCTCTCCCTTCCTCCTCAGCCTTCTCAATGTGAAGGCCTTTATGATGATCCTCACTTATTTAAAAAAAATAGCTGCTCTTGAATCAGTTCAACCCCCCCTTGCCTAATTATGTAGGGAATTAATTTCCATATGGAACTGAAGAAATGGAAGTTTGCACTGTAAACCTCTTAGCAATATGAATGTCATACCGGTTGTACCTGTCAGAATTTGGTCCTTGCTGCAGTTTGGAGATTCACATTTAGCTCATCTGTAGAGCTGGTTACATGACTCAAGGGTGACCTTGGGCAGCACATCAATCTGTTTAACGGAGCTCACACACAGGGTAATATGTGGGACTCGGGGGAGCAGATGGCAATGTTGGCAACCAGAACCTGGTTCTGGTGATTACAACCATTCCCCCCAGCAGGACTTTTCATGTCTTCATGAGGTCTGTCACACTAAAGAAGGCATGTTGATGGCAGGCGCCCTGCAAGTGGTTAGGGAGGTACAATCAGCTGACTCAGGGTTGGCCAGCCTTAGAATTACCTAGGCTTAGAATTACCTGTGTGCGGGGAGCAGAGGACCTTGTCCTTTATGATAAACAGGCTGGTTACCACAGCCAGATTTGGGACACTGGAAACAGGATTCCCGACTCTCATTCCACTCACTTTTTCTACAAAGGTAATGATCCAAGAAGTCAAGTGTGCTCATTAAATTGATCCCTTTCTGAGTCTAAAATTACTACCCCACTGTTGCCCCACAGCTGCATAAGCCTGGGATACGTAGCCCCGAACTCTGGATGAACTCCAGGACTGACAAAAATAGCCAAGGGAATTTTCTTTTTTTAAGGAAATATTATTTAAAGGAGCATTTTAGTAGTAAGGGAGAGAGCTGCAATTAATTTCAGGCAAATGATTAGAATAAGGGTTCAATGCACATAATGATGAAAATAAATTGCAAACTTTAAAGAAGTCTTTAAAATTATGTGAAACCTCGTTGTTGTTGCCATATTGATGTTCCTTAGAAGGCTTGATTTTGAGACTTTCAGAATATGCTTTTATGCTACAATTACTGTGACATCATATTCCTATTCACCTAGCCTCACAAAACGGATAGCTAGTAGAATGACACTGTTTGTAAAGGCAAACTAGCTACCAATGGACACAAAATCAAGATGTAGAATCAACTTGATTAACTGCAAAATCCATTCAATATATTTCTCTATTTCTTCAAATTCACTCTGATGTTTTCCAATCCAGTAAAATCTATGTTTATAACAACAACATTTCATCAGGCAGAGAAGGAACTAAGGCTCTAACAATTGAATAATGTTTTAAAATATTATTTTAGACTCACTGGAGAGAGTTTAACATTAAATTAGTGAGTGTTTCATTCATAAACACTGCAATCCTTCCCTTACCTGTCAGCCCCTCCCCCAACTTCCATCTTAAAGGGCCACTAGGGGGCAGTAAAAAGACACAGTTCTTCTTACTGTTATAAGGGAAAATGAAAAGCTCCAAAAACATTTTCCCGGTGAAAAAACTTCATACAACAAAGACAATTATACCACTTCAGCAGTATTACATCCAATGGATATATCAAGTCTATAACATGAGTTTGGACTTCTCAGGAGACTGCCTTTGGTTGTATTTCTTTACATATTCTAAGTGACAGGTAAATCTGTCATATCAGATCTATCAAGTAAATCAAGTAAAAGTCCTACTTTATCCAGTAAATCTGTGCATATCAGACCTAGAACAGATGTTAAAATTTATTTTCAAAGAGTGATAGTACACATCTCTGGTAATCACAAGGTATATAGCCATCTGTTCTCAGACAGAGAGTGTCCTAGTACTTTGCCAACTTTAAGAGGTGTTTTATTTTTTCCCTCTTTCAAAATGATTAACTCTCCAGAAAACTTGAATATAGATAGGTTGGTATTCCAGAAAATACTAACTAGGTAAGACCTTTAGACACTACTTAAGGTGACATTTATCATTGAAGTTGAAAATCTTCCACAAAAACTATAAGGGTGGCCTGGGGGTTACATTCTAACAAGCAAAATTAATATTCAAAATACATAACTGCATTTAAAAAAATCAGACTAGCAATTTCAGGTATCCAAACGGGTATCAAATATACTTGGAAGGCATTAGTGCTAGGTTTTTGCCTTCTTCCCTTATTTCTTCTGTAAGATGAAAAAGCAACATTCTGATTTTCTAACACCCACCTCAGGCCGAAGTAGATTGTCATAGAAGAAAAGTCAGGCATCATTTAGTCTTAATTGACCTTTCTATGATGCTAAAATGGATTTCAGATGAGAAAAATCTGTGAAATAGATAATTAACTTGAAAGAGAATTTAAAGGTAGACTCCTTTGGAACTTATCATCCTTTTCCTATGAGTTTATATATAACTGTGAAACCATATACAGGAAATTTCACATCAAATCAAAACATCAATATATTCTGGAGGCCTATTAAAATATTCTAGATACTATATAAATTTAGATGCACTGAGATAGATGTGTTTTAGATAAGATCTTTGCACTGGCATTACTATACTGGAAAAATCACTGAATGTGCTATTTTTAAAAATGCTACTTACTATAACTCAATATTCTAAAATGTGTGTGTTTTCATAGGGATTATGATCATCCTGGATTTAGAAAATTACTGTGTCAAAGATTGTAGTTATTAAAGGAAAATAATTTTGTTTTGGTGCTTGTATATTTCAACTATGTTTTTATTTTGCATTGTTAAGATTTTTAGTCATTCCTTTAAGGAAAACCTCTAAAATATTTGTATGGAAGTAAAGGAAGGAAAGAAGTCAAAAAATGGAATATGTGATGGGCCACAATTCCATAAAATAACATGAAATTTGTTAACGTATTGTGATGGTTAATGTTTTTATTTAAATATTTTATTTTATATAATTCTTACATCTTTTTTCATCTTTGCACAATGTATGCATTTTCATTTTGGTTATATTCCTCATACAATTGCACCACCACCCCCTTATTTTGACTCTAGTTCTTTCTCTCCCCGCCCCTCCCACCCCCACCCGTAGTGTGTCTCTGGTTTATAGTTGCTTGTTGATTTTGATTTTTACTTTGTATTGATTAGTCTTTTTCCTGGTCTCTTATTTAGGTTTTCTAAATTCCTGCTACGAGTGAGACCATCCGGTATTTTTCTTTTTCTTTCTGACTTATTTCGCTGAGCATGATCCCTTCTAGCTCCATGTGATGGTTAATTTTATGTGTTAACTTGACTGGGAAAGTTGACCCAGGCAGCAGGTAAAACATTATTTTTGAGTATCTCTGAGGGTGTTTCTGGGGAGTTTAGCATTTGAATGCTGGTTGACACTAGGGAGGTGATCATCTCCTGCCCTCCCCTAAAGGACAGTGGCCTTGCCATAAACAGTTCACTTTTTTCTAGTATAACTTCCTGTTCCTGTGGATAAGAACATTTTGGTCTCTTGGTCTGTGGTCAACCCATAGCAAGTCAGTACTTGGCACTTACTTTGCATTAGCAGGGCTGCAGGTGGTCAGGTTAGCCAGGGCAAGAGCTGCAGCTTCTCCGACCTCTTCATTGTCACTTTTCAGCAACTGAATTAGCTGTGGAATCCCTTTGGAAAAAATTAAAGGTGACTTTACAAACATCCATGTAAACAAGAAAATGGTAACTTAAAAATGTTCAAAATAGGGTTTTCTGGCTTGCTTACCCTGGGTATTGAAAACCTTTTTGCTATCCGTATTCTCACACATTGCTGAAATTGCTTGGGAAGCAGCAATTTTAGTTCCATCGTTTTCAGAACCCAAAAGGGCTATAAGGCACTTTTCAACCTCTTGTTCATGAAAAAACTTCCTATTTTCAGCTTTCAACATCCAAAAGAAAAAATATTAGAATTTTTCTGTAAAAATTATGGAGTATACCTCCTCCTCAATCAAAATACGATGGGAATTCAAACTATTTTCTAACTTAGTGACAAGTAAACTAATATATATATATATATATATACGTATTTAACCTTTAGAGCATAGCAACTGTGCAAAACAAATATGCATATTGAATTTTTTTATTCCTATATATGATACCAATACTACAGCAAAGAAAATATTATAGGAAAGTGGCAAGTCTCAGGTTTACAAGAACTTATTTAACACTAATCATTATTTCCTGAATGGTGGTGTAGTCACACATGCTATCTTCTCATGAAGGCTAAAAATCCTGTTTATCTGACGTTTATTTAAAATACAAAACCCAAAATTTGAAGAACTACTTAGAGTAAGAACTGGTAAGCTGGATACTCAAGAGGAGAAAGTGAAAATGAATATGATTCTGTCTTAAGGAATTTATAATCTTACATCAAAGAAACCACAATTACCTCCTAAATTACATTATATGCTGACAGAGCAGAAGTTGAAATAAATTTTTTAACTGTTGAATTACCATAAGCATAATCTAAATACACTTTAACATTATTTTTTGAGAATATAATTTAATACATACCATGCTATTCACCTCATTATAAAACACTAAATTAAGAATCAAAATATTTTTAGTTTTCTTTTTGTTACCTAAATTATTTTCTTTTAATTTGGTATTTTTTTAATAAATGACAATCTTGCTACTAAAGCAAAGATTGCATTAAGCTAAACTAGAACATTAAAACCTAATTTTTTGTCTTGTGTCCTATAGTTAATTACAAATAAGTTATTATTTATTAAAAGAATGTATTGGAAAAAATTAAGCAAACAGTTTTAATGTTATAAAAGATGACAAAGACTAGTCTGACAAGCTTACAAATAATTCCTTACTAATTTATTTATAAATAAAAAACTTTTATTTATTTATATTTTAATTTTACATCATTGTTCATTTTTAAACAATATTTGCATCCCCCCCACCCCCTCAGGTGTCGTCCCCATAGAGTTTCCTTCACCAATGCACCCGTGCACCATCACCTCAGTCCCCTGGGCTCCTCCCTCCTTCACCTCCTGCTCCTCCTCCTCCCCTGCAGGATGTCTCTGGTTTGTAATTGTCCGTTTTTGCTTTGTTGTGTTTTGTACTTTTATTTTTTTACACAGCTGTCTTATTGGGTTCCCCTATATTCCTGCTGTAAGTGAAACCATCTGATATTTTACTTTTTCCTTCTGGCTTATTTCACTGAGCATAATTCCTTCTAGTTCCATCCATGTTGCTGTGAATGGCATGAGTTTATCTTTTTTGATTGCTGAATAATATTCCATTGTGTATATCTGCCACATCTTATTGATCCAGTCACCTATTTTTGAGCAATTGTGTTGCTTCCAGGTTTTACCTATTGTAAATAATGCTGCAATAAACATAGGTGTACAGGTGTTCTTTTGAATCAATGTTTTTGTGTCCTTTGGGTAGATCCCTAGTAATGGAATTTTTAGTAGACTGAAATGGTAACTCCATTTTTTGTAGACTGAGGAACCTCCAGACAGCTTTCCATAGTGGTTGGACCAGTTTGCACTCCTACCAGCAATGAAGGAGAGCTCCTTTTTCACCACATCCTTGCCAACATTTGTTGTTGTTTTTTTTTTATATGTGCCATTCTTACTGGTATAAGGTGGTATCTCAATGTGGTTTTAATTTGCATATCATTCAAAAAACTGTCATAGGTTTGATTTTTCCATTAACTTACCTTCATAAAGTCAATTTACATAATTAAAAAAGATGAGTGTGATATATGTTCTTAGGATATTTATATAAGAATACTTTGTAGCATTAAAATTTGCAAAAACATTGATACTAATTTAGATAACATCTTCATGTGAAAACAATTCATTACTTAAACATTTTTTTTTTTATAGAGGCATTTTTTTTTTATTATTTATTTGTTTGTTTTGTTTATACATGCACTGGGTACAGTCAGAGGAGGGTGAGAGAATTCACCAGAGTCAGAGCGGGGAGCAGAGCAGGCAGAAGGACAGAAGCACACTGCTGAGAGGAGCAGCGGGCAGCAGGAGGGGTCTGCGCACCATGTGGGACCCTCCTCTGGTGGCCGGGGAGCAGCCGGGGATCGAACCGGCGCCGCAGAGGTCGCAGGCAGCTTCACAACCCAGCACTCAACCGCTGCGCCACCGGGGAGGCCCCCATTACTTAAACATTTTTAAGCTAATTTTTTTCTCAGAATTATGTACAGGATTTATTGCACTAGGTATCTATTTTAAATTTAACATCTGACTTCTGTCTTCTTTTAACAATGTTTTTTAAAAAATCTCTCTTTGATAGAGGTAGTAGCAAGTTCAGATTTCACCATATTTGCAAATGCTGTTGGCCTTTGTTCATCTGATACACAGATGTATGCCAAGAGATCTGGTCATAACTAACACTGGCTAAGTTACTCAAGATTTATAAAAATAACTTAAATACTACAGGCAATTAGTTACTCAGCTCTTCTGGGAGTGTTCTCAAAAGTCCAGCTGTGTTCACCAAACCTCAAAAGCGCTGACTGCTGAGTGGTTATAAGAGATTTATAAGATGAATTAACATATTAACCATGTACCTTCACTGAACTGCTACACCAAGAAGTATTTATGTTTTAATTACACAGATAATGAAGATGGCAAGGTAATTATGTTACTAAGAGAGTAATGTTCTCTAAAAATAACATTTATTCAGCATCACAAAAATAAAAAAAGTGTTAGGTTTTATAACTGAAAATAAATCTGCATGCAATGATGCATTTCTTCACTCATTCTAGGAAGTTGCTATTGTGCTACCTTTGCTCCTGCTGAGATGTTAATGCCAGTTCATAAACCTCATGGCAACATGGTAATTAACACCTTCCTTCTTTCAATGTCAAAGGCACTCTGATTTGGGATTTCCACAATGGGGAGGCATGTTAAAACTTTACTCAACAAAGAAAATTAAAGACTGTGTAGTATGTGTTTTTTCCACCGCATTTTTGACACAATGACATGCATTATAAAGGATATTAAAATGTCTGATGATGAAGGAAAGTAAAGAGAAAACGTTGTAAATGAATACTGATGACTATATTGTTCTTAACAGTACAATGAGCAATATATTAAAACCCTAAAACTTCTGAATGGAGTTTTCTGTGGAAAGTTATTTCAAAACTTCTTCAAGATTATTTGCTTCCCATACAGAAATACTTAGTTAAACCTCACTAAGTTTTTAGAGTTTATTGATTGTTGCTAATATATAAACTAAGGCCGTCTCGTTATGTTGACCAGGCTTGTTCCCCAGTCAAGGTCAGGTCAAGCAACGGTTACTATAAAATGGATTAGATGAAAAAAATACAGGTAAGATCTGAAAAGAAAGCAAGTCTAAAGAAAGATGGGACTAGTTGGGGTCTGTCTAGGTAAATTTATCATTATGAGGAAAAGAAAACAAAATTGGAAAGTAATCATGTAGATGGGTACATGCCAATATATTGTAGGGGAGGAAAGGAATTTCCCCCTACTCTTCTGGGTTCTTCCTGGGTCTGTCAAACAATTGTCCTAACCACCCTTTAGTTGTTTCAGGATATCTTCACCTCTCACCTAGATTACTGCAGCAAGCCCCCTCCAGATCCTTTTGTGTCTAGTCTCTACGTTTCCAATCTCTACACTTTGCAATTAGGAAACCTTCTACTTTCCATCCCTCCTCTGGCCTTTATACACAGTTTCTTCTTGGAGCATTGCTGACCCTCCCGGATTCCACCAGGACCTTTTTTGCAAACTCAGTTTCTATGATTTCCTCTCAGCCCTCACTTGTAAATCACCTTATCCAAAAAAACTTATCTGACCCAAGTCCGTATTAGGTGGCCCTAATAACCCTAATAACAGGGTGATCCTGTTCTTCCATCATCAAGCCCATTAACACCATCTTGTGATTGCCTGTATATTTACCTGTTTATTGACATAAACCGGGGGCTTACTAAATTATTAACAAATGAATTAATAAATAGGTCCACAGAAGTTATAACTCACTCATAGTCACATGCCTAGGTCATTGCAGTGCTAGCAGTAGAACTTGAACACCAGAAACTACCCAGTGCTCTTTCTACTCTTGAGTCCTATCATAGATAACAGGGCTGAACAATATGAAAATGGCTCAGAAACACTAGACCAAAGAGAAGCTGAGATATGCAAAATATTTAGGTTTGACCTTGTCACATGTTTTCCCATTGTCTTGTCTTTTGAGTTAAAATAGCTGAAAGGATCTGGAGCTAGATGGCAAATAGGACAGTATAAGGTTTAAGTTAGTAGGCTGTTGGAAAAGTCATGACATATTTGATTAGCAAAATGGGTCATGACTTTTCCGACAACCCAATATTTGATAGAATAATATAAGCAACTTTTTCCAATATTAAAAATCTTAATTTTATAGCCTATGAATTTGGCATAAATTATAACTTATAAGATCCTTGTATACTAGTTTTGTATGAGACTGAAATTTGGCTTACTGCATTCAAACTTAGCCTTGAGGAAATCCACTAGGGGTTGCAAAGGAAATGTTTCCTATAATACACACATAGACATATATACAGATGTGAGTATATATGTTTAGAATATAAAGTAATTTAGACTAGTAAAATCTATAAGATTTTACTATAAAATTTAATCTATAAATTTATAAGAGGAGTTATTGGAAGAGGGAACACAATCATGTCTTTTTTTAAATAAAATACTCCAAATATAAATAAAAACTATGATTTCATCTTCAGTGCTTATGATGTAATTGATTTCTCACATTTTACAGATTCATGTCAACATATCTTGCCATTGAAATGAAACTGTGTTATGTATGTAGTATGAACATATTTTTCAAAGTTATATAACATGGAACTGCTAGTCTCTAGCTGAAACTTGAAATTACTATATAGATATCATTCCAAATGTGGATTTATTGAAATAACTCTTTGAGACTCACAAACAGCACATACCATCTGTGTAACTGCAAGATCAAAAGAAATAAGGGCTTAAAAAATAACTTAGGAATAAATTTTTTAAAATGATAGGATTATAGTTAAATAAAATAGAAATAATTATATCCTTGACAAAACAATCTCTACATTAACCCATCAGCATTGAGATGAATTTGGCCTTAATATGTATAGTACTGCTCTCAAATGGTCATATAAACGCAGACAAATACTCTACTGTTTAATAATACCAATCAAAATCAAGAACATGTATGCTTAGTTTGTATAAAATGAGACATACAATTATATGCAGCTTTAGTGATTGCTTTTGCTGCATTCTTCTGAATATCAGGAATTGCAGAGTTTTCTGCAAATGTCAGGAGCTTCTTAAGACCCCCCGTCTGCTGAATCAGCGCCATGGTATCCATATCATCAAGGCAGTTGGCTATCACTAACAGTGCTTCTATATGAAGGTCATTCAAGTCCTAATAATAAAAGTAAACACAACTGTAGAGAATTGCACTAAAAGAAATTTATACCCTCAAAATTTACCACAGGAGGAACTGAGGTCAGTCAGAATATAATGTAAGTAATTTTGTTGTGACAGAGGCCCAAGAAAGCAGTTGTGTTTATTAAAGTGACATCACTGTCCCTAACCATTTGTCTCATCTTTTCTCATTTCCCCCAACCACAAAATGTTTTATAGGTAGGAAATAATTACTGGAAACTTCCAGTGAGGATAGCCAAATGAAGTTGTTTAGACAACTACAACAATGTGATCTAGACTACACTGTCCCAATAACCTTCAGGAATAAAGGTTTGGGTCACCCTACAGATAAAGAATGAAGATAAGTCGAAATACTTGCTCAGGCAAAGGGAATATGGAATGGGTATAGGAAGAAGAGAACTGTAATTGTATAATTGTAAATGTATAGACGAGAGAACTGTAATTGCCATGAGTATTTCTTCTTAATTTTGTTATGAATGTACATGTGTGGATAGGAACTCCTTTTTTCTCCCTCTCTTATCCTCTTATGCAACAGAAGATGTACTGATGCTATAAAATAGTATTTTTATTAATTTTACATCATGGTATATAAGTTACAAGATATCAAGGTGAAGAGTATATCTGATTCAAGCACATTGCATCCTCCTCTGGGGAAAGGTCAGGTGGACATGGGGTCTCGCTACTGTCTTTGTTGTATGGGTGTCAAGTTGACAAGGAACAAACTTGCGATAGTTAATTTTTATGTTTTAACCTGGCTAGACCATGGTATCTAGATATTTCATCAAATACATTTTAGATGTTTCTGAAAAGGTATTTTTAGATAATACATTTAAATCAATACAGTAAAGCAGATCACTGCTTTTCTAAACCAGAAGATTTTAAAAGTTGAGGTGTAGTTCACATACATATATTAGTTTTATGTATACAACATAATGAATTTTGTATTTATATATATATATATATTGCAAAATGAACACCACAAAAACTCTAGTTAACATCTGTCATGGTACATAGTTATAAAACTTTTTTTCTGCTGATGAGAACTTTTAATATCTACTCTCTCAGTTACTCAGAACCTATTTAATTGGAAATGTGTACCTTCTGACAGCCTTCAACCATTTTGTCCAACCTACACCTCTCTGCACTGCCTCTGGCGATTAACAATCTATTCTCAATATTCAGAAACTTGGTTGCTGCTGCTGCTATTGTTTTAGTTCCAAAATATATGTTCGATCATACCATATTTGTCTCTTTCCGTCTTATTTCACTTAGCATAATATCCTCAAAGACCATCCATATTGTATAAATGACAAGATGTCCTTTGTTACCATGGATTAATATTACAATTATCTATCTATCTATCTATCTATCTATCTATCAATCTATCTATAACATTTTCTTTGTCCATTCACCCATCAAAAGACATGTGCACATAAGTTTCTGATATTTGGTGCTCTCATTTCATTCAGATAAATACCTAGAAGTCAAATTGCTGGATTATATTCCAGTTCTATTTTTAACTTTTTAGAGAAACCTAGATGATTTAAATAATTATTCTATAATGATCTCTATCATTCATTAGACTTAATCATGCTGATAAACAATGCCACAATAAGCAAAATCATTCACTATACCTAATACCATACTTAAATAGAACACAATTTCATTAAAAATATTTTACAAGTTATATTCTATCACAACCTTTAGGAGATACAATTCCTCATAGTTGAATGAATAACTCAATACCTTAGTTTCTAGGATCTTAATAAGTTGGTCCACTCCTTGATTGTCTCTTAGCATTACTCGTGACTCCTTATCATTTGTAACAATACCTAATGTTTTGAGAGCCAACAGCTGAATAATTGGATATTCTGAATTCAAGAGTTCTAATATAGGAGGGATTGCATTTAGCTCTGGAAGTGTAGCTCGACACTGAAAATCCTGCCATGAAATACAAATGATCAAGAAAGTAATTTTTAAGGCAATATACCATGTCAAGAATGAAGAAAATTTTTTCTCTAACAAAAGACATTATAAAATAATTTTCTCATCTTTTTATTTCAGATGCTCTTCCAAAGTAACTCATAAATATAAGCAAACCTGCAAGTGATAATACACAGTATTCACTCTAACTATGTAGACATTGTCAATAATAAGAAGCTGATATGATGTATGACTTTGGTAGTATCTATTGTTTAATACACAGCAAATTCCTATTACTCTAAGCAGCATTACAATAAAATCTATGAATGATACAATACTTTTCACATTCTATATCCTATTTTAATTATTATTTGATAATATTAACTGATGACATTAATTCCTTATTCTCTTCATCCAAATGAAGCATGCATGCCAACTGAGCATGCAAACTGATATCAGGTTTATCTCTGATGCTAACCTTTATTTAAAAAATATACAGTATGAAGGGGTCTTTAGTCTAGACAAGCTGTTCTGCATCTTTTTTTTTTTTTTTAAAGATTTATTTATTTATTTAATACAAGCACTGGGTACAGTCAGAAGCCTGGGAGGGTGAGAGAATTCACCAGAGCCAGAGCGGGGAACAGAACAGGCAGACTGACGAAATACACTGCTGAGGAGAGCAGCAGGCATGGCAGGAGAGGTCTGCTGCGCCATATGGGATCCTGCTGGAGGCCGGGGATCGAACCGGCGCTGCAGAGGCTGCGGGCAGCTTCAGCAGGCCAGCACTCAACCACTGTGCCCCCAGGGGAGGCCCCTGTTCTGCATCTTGTGTCTGTAATTATGAGTGACTGGTGGGGAGAGGGCTTGGGTGGAGTGAGCAATGGAGAAAACAAGGCAAAAAGCCAGGAAAAGTCCCAAACTCTGGCTGCTAAACATATTAAATGGAAGCATGTAAAAGAGTACCAACGGTGGAAAAGGCCCCGCTTAAGGCTTACCTTTCCTGTTTCCACCCTTCCATTTACCTCTATTGTCGGCTTCCTTCAGACATAATAATTGAAAGTCACTGTTTGTCAGGGATTGACTTGTGTGAAAAGTAACATAACTGGAGCCATATTAAAATAGGGCCATAGAAATCAATTAAGGAAAAAGCTGTTTCGCTATTGTCTTTAAACTGGAAGATGACCCTGGGACTGGATCAACCCCCAACATCCCAACAATAAGGAGAATGTCCTGTTTGAAAGGACTGATAAAGAAAACATTTCCCTTTTTTTTTTTTTTTTTACTATTACCCCTTCCACCTGTCCATTTAACTTGTGTCTCCTTCATGTGACCATTAATTGACCCATGACCTCATCCTCCATGACCTCTCTCTTCTTTCTCTCTCCGTAAACCCCCCCCCCGGATCCCTCTTCTGGACATATTTCAGGTTTTTGACTAAATCTGTGTACCTCAAACTTCAGTTCTTTGCTATTCTCAAATAAACATATTTCAGCTTGCCCATTCACCTTGCCATTCTCCGATTTGTGAACAATAATGAGTTCTATTCAGCATACTCAATCCACTAGGTTTTCACCAATAAATAAGCCGAATCCAAGATCTTATTCACTGAATAAGGTATATATAGTAAAGTTGACCTTTAAACACACAGATTTAACTGCTCGGGTCCACTTATTCATGGATGTGCTTATAAATAGATTAGGTACATAAACTGTGGGTATCATTAAATATAATAAAGCATTTCCTTGTGATTTTCTTAATAGTGTTTTTTCCTCTAGCTTACTCTATTGTGAGAACACAGCATATAACACATATAATTGCAAAATTTGTGCTAATCAACGACTTAGGTTATCAACAAGGCTTCCTGTCAACAGCAGGCTATCAGTAGTTTTCAGAGTAGTGAAAATTTGTACTTGGGCTTTTGACGGGAGGAAATGACACCCATATCCCTCATGTAGTTCAAGGATCACCTAGTTAGACAAATATACAGTAACCCAGGTTAAACTTAGTTCAATACAAAAATTAGATTTCCTGATTTAGATGAAATACATTTTATCTAGTATAACTCTGCCTTAATTTGCAAGCCATTCTTATCCCCTTAAAATTTAAATATGTTTCTCAAATGCCCTTTAATGGGAGATAATTAATTATAATATGTAAAAAATGAAAGGTCTCTACACTAACATTCTATTACCTTTTCTCTGAATATCTACTGAATAAGTACCAAGAAGAACTGATTAATCAAAACTGATGAGTTTTAAAAAGATTTTTCCCTTTTTTATGCAAAAAATAAATTCTGTAATCAGCTCTTGTCAAAACACATTCTCAGAACTTGCTCTTACCTGGACCAAGTTGTAAATGCACTCAATAGAATTCTTCTTCACATCAGGGTCAGGGCTGCTCAGCAGTCTGACGAGAGGCTCTAATCCGCCACATTCAAATATTTGCACTTTGCTGGTGTACTCAGCAGACATGTTTGCTAGGCAAAGACTAGCAAACTCATGGATAATCACTTCTTCTGTATATCAAAAATAAAGAGCACGAGTATGCTAAGTCCTCATTCAACCACTCCTCTACAGCATGCTTAGAAAGCCAAAGCTCCACAAATTATACCTTGGTTGGAGCCCAACTTGGTTTGAGAATTTTTTTTAATATTTTATTTTATATAATTCTTACATCATTTTTCATTTTTGCACAATGTATGCATTTTCAATTTTGGTTATATTCCTCATACAATTGCACCCCCCCTTATTTTGATCCTAATCCTTCCTCCCCCCCCCCCCCCCCCTTCTCCTTCCCCCCCAGTGAGAAATTTTAATGACAATTCATAACTGGTATTTCATGAACTATTTTCAAAAAGTAGTTTAATTAAATGTAAAAAAAAAAAAAAAAAACAGTTCCAGGTCTTAAACAGAAGTAAGATGCAAAGTTACCTTCTGGAGCCAGCTGAGCAATGACAGAATTCAGGATATCCAACTCCCTTAACAATTTTTTAACATCACCTACAAAAAATGAAACAATATCAACGTTAGTTAATACTAATAATGACTGTGTGTTGAATGGCCCTTATGAGAGAGGTACTATTATTACCTAATTTTACAGATCAGGGTAAAAACCACACAGGAAGAAAGCAGTGATGCCTGGGTCTGTCTGATTCCACATGGACTCCAGCCCATGTTCCTTGATCAGTGAGCACACCACCCCCGAGACAGGAGAAAACACAACCTCAGCAGGGCCAGGCGGGCCTCCAGAGCCCATCTGTACAGCTGACTGACTGGCCCCACACTTGATCACTGTATGATAGTAATTCTTACTTCTGTTGTGGGGAGGGAATTCAAAATTTCGATTTTAACAAAATTTGTATAGAATGCAAATATGAATTATCCTGAGTCCTTTTTCATTAACAGAGCTGGTTTACATTTTATATGATTAGCAGAATTACCAAAAATGCTCAAAGATGAGTATGTTGATTTTTTAAAAGTTAATTTTTGTATTATTTAATTTGGTCTAATTAAGGTTAGACAGTCATGGCCCTACTTCTTGCCTGTTATTCCTTGTCCCCTTTTTCTGAGAAGACATAGCTGTTCCTTCTGTTTGCAATTTTTCTTCTTGATCAATTATCTTCATATATAAGCCAATATTAGCATCACCAGAGTTTTGGAAAAGTTCACTTAGCCACAGCTGAAGCAGATGGTGTCTGGGTGATTTGTTCCTCATTAACCACTGGGTAGACAGCACTTGGCTTTTATCAGGCAAGTTATCCTGTGGGATCCAGGGGATGTGGCTGTTCTTCACCCTGTCAAAACCCCTCTGCTGTCTCTTTCTGTTTAATGTGGCTAAAAGAGGGTTAGCTGTAATTCTGAGAATACACCTGAAAAGAATAATTAAACTTCTGGGAATCCTAGTATCCTAAAGTGAAGGACAACCTTTTACAGTAAACACTCATTTAAAAAAGCAAAAGTACACTAACTCAGGCATAATAGTCAGATCTTTCCACACATTCTGGTAAATGATATAGAAGTGAATCCTTTGCAAAAATGTGCTGTTATTCCTCTTCTCATTTGTAGGGGTTCACTTTGTATTTTTTGGAATGGATTTCATGAAGGTCATTCCGAAGTCTATGCCTGCATGCTTGAAGAGAAATATTCATGGGTTTTCAGATCTCCAAGTACTTTCTCCACTTGGTATTCAAAATCACCCTCCATATACTTCAAAGTTTCTGGGGTGACATAGACTATGAGGCAAGAAGACTCATATTCTCTCTGTGCCTTCTTCTTTCTCTACAGATCCACCCCCACAGGGAGAGACCACCCTGCTGCATCTGTGTATGATACTTTCCCTCAGTCCCCAGAACAAATTAAATGTTTTCTTCAGAGGGTTCTCTGCCTTAAAATCACCCTCTGGATATGAATTCAGTCCAAATAGCAAGTGATAATCAACAATAACCTAGTAATCTACCCACTAAGGCTTTAAAAGATTCACTCACAGTTGATCAATTTGTTTTTCTGTTTTGTTTTTTTTTTTTTGACACCAGATTGTTCAACGTATCTTTTCTTTTTTTGAGGCTAAATCAGTCAAAATAATGGATACATCACTACTTCCATTAAACATCTGTGATCTCTGTCCCTGTGTTTCTCAACAGAGACCACTCTCAGAAATGGCACTAAGTAGGAACTCTGACTTGTGGTTGAGCCACACGAACACGCTCTAGCTCAACAGTGTGACACAGTTTAGGTTGTTGCAGAATGGCTAGCACCTTCACTTCCTGGGGGAACGTCATGCACTTTGTTTTAATTTCATTCTTATTCAGAACTTTTTGGTTTCATAATATCAACCATATAATTTGTTCCTGACCTCTTACATTCTTTTACATTTGTTCCTGACCTCTTACATTCTTTTCCTAAAAATGCAAGGTCTTCAGATTGCCTTAAGTGATGTTAAGTCTGGGCTTCAAAGCCTGCTTCTCCTCACAAGTCTCCTGATGTGCTGTCTCTTTAGCTGACTTCATCATATAAGTCTCTGGTTAAATGACCTTATCGAATGAAATATAAACTGGTAGGTAAAAGAAGACAGCAGTTTGGTTTGGGAGAAAAGATTTTAAAAAGTAAATTAAATTCCTGTTATGTATGACTCAGGTTTAGCACGGGCACATAACTCAATCACACTAGCAAATGAAAAAAAAAATAATTAAAAAAATAAAGCAGCAGCAAAAATTTGTAACTGCAAAAGGGAAAGACTGCTCTTGTACAAATCCTTTTAGTACCTGGCATTCTGTGGTTGATCCATAATAAACATAATGATATCACTGAACACATGAAGACCATAGAAAATAGAAATTTCAGAAAAAAGCATGAGTTATTTAAGACTACCTGAAGTTGATGACTTGACTTTTTGACTGAAGAGGTGCATTTATTTACATAAGCATCTGGAAGCAATATTTTTCATGTGCCCATCAAATGAGTAGTTGTTCATTTTTTATACCAAGTTTCCTTGAATGAGGTGTTCTAGCTGAGAATATGTAAGGTGAAAAGTAGGATGACTCTAGTGATTTCCCATGACAGAGAAAGAGACCAGTTTATTCCTACCAGTCTGCATTTCATGTTGGAGCTCATTCTCCACTGAGAATGTAATTATGAATTATAAGTATTTACTCAGCTAACTGAAAAAACCCACCATCTTAACATGAAAATGACCTACAAATGGAAACCATCCTGTTCATTAATCAGGAACTGCCTTTATTAGCATGGCTTGGTCACACTGATATTCTCATGGATATAACAGCATGATTTCCTAATACTGTTACTTTAGTATATTAAAAATAAAAATATTCAAGCAAGTAATGGGGCTGATTTAAGAAGTAAATACATGTAGTTTACAGTTTCAGAAAAAATAAATGTATTAAAACTCTTCTAGGCTTCATTTAGTATAAAATACATATGAAGTATAACTTACACATAAGCATACACATGACATTACACTAACTCAAGGGGAAAACTTTTAAGAGACAGTGATTGATTTACCAGCATTGTAAGACTGGAACATAGTACCTCATCGACTTTGAAAGTTGTCACATGGATATATTTAAATACATTTTTATACTTAATTGTTTTCTTAACATATGAAATCATACTTCCTTAACTTTTCATTATCATTGAAGTCAGTTTGAATAAATTTAAACAAGTCTGTTAAAGTTAAATGTACAAGGATAATACATTACATGAGATTATTTTAGTAATTTTTAAAGTTGATACTTACTGTTAGAAGTCAGGATTCCAAATATCATATTAGCATTTCTTCTGACTATTTTGTCTTCATGGGTGAGCAGTTTCGTTAAAGGTTCCACAGCTCCAAGTTCAAGGAGGGTTGTTTTATTTTCCTCACCTGATATTATAGATGAAAGAAAATCATACATGGGCACCAAGATCATCAAATCTGTGTCTTTCCAATATCTTACTTGCCATTTGCCTTTCACATTCCTTTGCCTCCACATTTATTCCTCTCAGAATAAACTTTAGAGTACAGGCACGAGGACATGTGCTGCTCCCTGCCCCTCCCTGATGTCTACAAAGCCAAATGAGGAGTTCTTAGCTCACACTGATCTTCAGAGGGTTTTGCCCTGGCCACACCAATGTTAACTTCTCATTCCAGTTATCTTATCCCTCTCTGCCCTAACTTATTTTCTTCATACAAGTTTATGAACTTCCATGCTTTGTTTGTCTACTCTACAGAAACTTCACTTTCCAAGAGTGCTGATACTTACGCTGTTCTGTGCTCTCCTATCCTCAGCATAGGACAGCACAGTGCCCGCTATTTGTGCAATGGCAACATCAATTGCATAACTGCATAACTAATTTTAATAATTAACACACATAAACCCCACTTTAATTTCAAGAGTATGTGATGGAGTTGGGGGCCCACTTTTCATCAGTGTGATTACAGATGCTATGACGTAATGCAAGGTGTGCCTGTAGGCAGCCACAGATGCATGCACAGAAGTGAAATACCAGGTAAGTGAGGACTCCTTTTCTGTGGCAAGAGGTCCCAGAAACAGAAGGTTTTAGGGTCAGAGTCCAGTCTAACTGTAGAAGCAGTTTGTCTGCACCCTAGTGAGTTGGGTATCATTCTACAAAGTTTAGAATAACATGTAGGTCCTGGTTAATTACAGCTTTTCAATTTCACTGGAATATGAAAATAGAGGTTTCACTCTCAAAATTAAATTGATAGTATAAGAAAGTCATTCTAATTCCCTTCACCTTATTTTTCTCATAAAATTGCTTTATACTTTAAACTATAGGTTCACATTCCAGTAACATAGTTCTTAGACACAGACTAGATGTTCCTATAGCCCATGGAATTTCCCTGTAACTAAATGCTCAAATGTGTCACTGAATAAGAACAGGCTGAAATATGCATTATTAACTATTTTAAATTTCCTTTTCAAAACTTCCACAATATTTGAATTTTAACAGTTTTAAAAGTAACCTTATAATCTGGGAGTAAATTTCATTCTGTCGTGATATAGCAGTCTTTTTATAAATTGTTGAATTTTATTTGTCAATATTTTGTTTAAAATTCTTAAACTGTATTTATGAGGCATACTGATCTGTAGGTTTCTTCTCTTGGAATACTTTGTCAGTTATGGGTCTCATGGTAATTGCAGTTTCATGGAATGAATTGGAAAGTAGTCCATCTTTTTTCAATTTTAGGAAAGCACTTACATGTATAATTAATTAGTATCGTTTCTTCAAGTGTTTGATAGAATCCATGAATGAAAACACCTGGACCATGACTTTTCTTTGTGAAAAATTTAACCAGAAGTTTCAATTTCTGTTACTTTTCTGGTATTAATACAATCACTCCACCTTTCTTTTGACTAGTGCGGGAATAGCATTTATCTACATTTTATTTTTTTTGTTGTTTGTATCATATTCTAAAACATTGCTTTAAGGTGGCATGTACTTTGATCTTGTTTTTTTTTTCCCCCAATATAACAGTCTCTCCCTGTTAATTGTGGACCTAGATCATTTACAATTATTTTTTTTTAAAGATTTATTTAATTATACAAGCACTGGGCACAGTCAGAAGTGCAGGAGGGTGAGAGAATTCACCAGAGCCAGAGCGGGTTGTGGAGCAGGCACAAGAACCGAAGTACACTGCTGAGGGGAGCAGTGGGCGGCAGGAGAGGTCTGTGCGCCATGTGGGACCCTCCTTGGTGGCCAGGGAGCAGCCGGGGATTGAACAGACTCTGCAGTGGCTGCGGGCAGCTTCGCAACCCAGTGCTCAACCCCTGCGCCATCGGGGAGGCCCTCATTTACAATTAATTTGATTATTGATATTGTTAGGTTTAAAATATACCATCTTATAATTTTTTATACATCCCATAATATTCTATGCTTTCTTTTTCTTCATTTCTACCTTCTTTGCATAAATTGACTATTTCTCCTGACTCCATTTCCATGGATGGCTTATGTCATATTATTCTTTGTTTTGGTATTTTATTGGTTGTATTATTGAAATCCATCCTTAATTTATTGCAGTCTATTTCCAAGTGGTAGTTACCACAACCACATACTTTTACCACTTGGCCATTGTTCTTGCACATATAGTATAAGAACCATATGAAAGTATACTTCCTCAACTCTCCTCCTTTTGGTACAAATGTTTTCCCAGATTGTACTTACACATTTATTTCAGATTGCAAATATATGACTATTATTTTTGTTTACAACAATCATTTTGCCTTTTCAGTGATTTGAATAAGAAAAATCTTATATGTTATTCTTAGTGTTCTATTTTTATTCTTTTGTATAGAACCATATTAGCATTTGGTTGGTGTTATTTTTCTTCTACCTGAATAACCTGCAGTACCATAATTAGCACTGTGCATCTATTTGTAATAAAATCCTTTGCTTTTGAATGTCTGATACTTTAATATATGCTTTTTTGAAAGAATTTTCACTAGGTATAAAATTCTAGGTTGAAAGTTTTCATTTTTCTTTCAATACCTTAAAGATGTTCCTCTGACTTCTTGCTTGCATCATCTGTGATGATAACACTCTTGTCATCCTTATCTTTGTTCCTCTAAATGTAACATTTTTCCTCTAGTTTCTTTTAAGATTTTATCACTGGTTTCAAGCAATTTTTTGGGCAAAAGAGTCTTGAAATTTGTTCTGGGACACAACTGTCTGGAAATCATTTGATCCTTTCAGCACTTGCTTTTAATGTTTGTGTTTGGTACTGGAGCAGCGCTCAATGTATAGCTAATTATTTTTACCTATTGAGGTATGACCTTTCAGTGTTATCTACAAAATGATTGTGTTCTTGGGAATAAGTCACTTGCCCAGCCCACATCTAAAAATAGGGAGTTATATTCTGCCTATTTGAAGACAAAATATTAAGAAATTATTTAAATTCTTCTAAATGGGAGATTTGTCTTTTCTCTCCCATCTATTTACTTACATAAATATTTATTTACATCAGAATAAACTTATACTTATTTTCTACTTTGAGTCTATACGCTAATAGTACTTTATATTTTTTGTTGCTTAAATCCTTCCAGCTTGAACTAGTGGGAGTTCTTCAGCTCTTATGACACAATTTTTTAAGCTACAATAAAACTGTCAAAGTGCCTGTTGTACCCAGTCACTAAATTACTCCTTAAGATTAAGTTAAGCACTCAGTGAGATACATTACTTTTAGGTAGTACACTAAGTGGTAAGTCTGGCTGTCAGAAAGAATATTTCTGATAGGATGTAAGTTAAAGACTAGGGAGACAGTGCCCATTATGCAGTAAATATTTTAAGAAATTAATGAAACAAACTGAAAACTCAAACCTTTTAAAGCAAATCTATAAATTCCTTCACAAGCTTTTGCCAAAATTTCCTCTTCTGGAGAATTAAGCATTAACACCACAGTCGCTACATTTCTGCTTTCAACTGTTAATGGATCGAACTGAAATGCAGGAAGAAAAATATTAGGTTCACAATTGAGCCTTAAAAAATCCCATGAAAAAAATAAGTGTCTTGAATGTTAAACAAAACATAATCATACCAAAAGGATGTGGTCACTGCCCACTAAGTTCATTGCAAAGTTTATTTTAAAAAGCATCACTGGTAGGGAGGTAGTTGTTAACATTGGTGACTGTGGAATTCCTGGAGTCTGGCATGAAGAGCAAAGAATTTTGGAACCTGACAGATGAGTCTCTCAATTTAACCACACAGAATCAAACAAGTCACTTAGGTTGCTAGAATTTCAGTTTCCCTTTCTGTACAATAGACATAATAATACCTATCTCAAAGCATTAAGGGGAGCATTGAAGAACACATGTAGGTAAAACACTGGGCACATTATCTGACAAACAATAGATGCTTATAAAATAACTTCTGTAATTCTTAGTTGTTACACAAGAATCCTTGAGTACCTGAATGTACTACATGCCCTGACAGTGTCAATAGCCAGTACCTACTTTCTAACCATTACACTCTTTCTAGAAAAGCAGGAACTACATATGTAAAAAACAAAACAGCATGGAATAAAATAGAAAACTGGATAATTTCTGGAATGGGGAATTTGCAATATATTGATAGTATAAAGAAAATATATAGGAATCTAAAAAGATCTGTTTCCAGCTGTGAGATCTTGGGAATTCATGTGTGTCTGAAATTAGCAACAACATTACTCACCACCCCCCACCACAGGTACAAGACTATCTCTCCTTCCCTTTCCTAGTCAAAAAAATCTTATAAACTGTTTACTTTTCTCCATTTTCTCACTCTCATTTCCTGCTGAACATCTCCAGTCTGAATTTTCCCCTCATCAAGTCACTTAAATAGTTCCCACTAAATTCATCATCTGTGATCACCATTCACCTCCCACTTCTTGAAAGTTTTATTTGATTTCCAGAGATGAAAACAATGAAATAATACTTGAAACTATAGAAACTTATAGATTATTTTTCTGGGTAAATATTCAAAAATTTTTAAAGATTTATTTATTCAAGAACCAGGTACAGGTCAGATGTGCGGGAGGGTGAGAGAATCCACCAGAGACAGAGAGGGGAACAGAACAGGCAGAAGGACTGAAATACACTGCTGAGGGGAGCAGCGGGTGAGACAGGAGAGCTCTGCCCTGCCATGTGGGTATCTCCACAGCTGGCAGGGATCAAACCGGTACTGTAGAGGCTGTGGACAGCTTCACAGTGCTGCACTCAACCACCTGTGCCACCAGGGAGGCCCTAAATATTCAAATTTTTTATTCATGGTAGTTGGGTGTTGAAAATACTTGGGCTTTCTATTTCTGTTTTTGCACAGCTATATGCTGCTATGAATTTCTCTATGATAATACTAAGTGCAGAAAAATGTTTCTTAATTTAACGTCTATTCAGTCTGTTGTACCATCATTTAGTCAAGTTGCTCAGTCCAAAAACCTTGAAACATCTCAACTCCCCCCTTTCCTATACCCACACAGAACCCATCAGCAAATCCTGTCGACTCTACCTTTCACATGTGTGCTCACTCTAGCCACATTGCACCTTCTCAACAGTTACTACCTGGTCCACCTGCATACCTTACTGCACAACTGTACTAAGCAGCTTCCACTTTTCTAGTTTTCACTCTCCTTCCACATTGTAGCTAGAGTGATTTTTTTTAAATATAAATCAGATGTTACTAGTCCTCTACATCAGATCCTTGCATAGCACCTTCTCTCAATACTGTTTTGTTGTAACATTGATGAGAAAAATAAAACAAATTCCCAGATGGGTCACTGTGTGGAATATTCACCTTGTCCTCATATCTGTATGGGTTTTATCTGGGTACTCTAGTTTCTTCCCATCCCAAATGTCCACTGGGGTCCACTGACCTGTGTAAATTGTCTCAATCTGAATGACAGTAAGTATGGGAGTGAGTATACCCTATGATGGAAGAGCTTCCTGTCCAGGGTTGGGTCCCACCTCCCACCCCAGCTGTCATCGCTGCAACTTTGAATTAGAATAAATGAGCTGAAAAATGAGTGAATGAGAATGTTACCAACCTGCCTTCACAAAGCCCTGAAACCTCACTGATCTTTTGAGAATCATAGCCTTAGACCATCTTTACATTTAAGACAGTTTCCCTAGCATTCTCCTCCATCAATCCCCATTGAGAACAGATTTCTCTTCCATTTTAGAACTTTACTTCACACCTTTGACATTTCAATATTTCTAAAGCTGATTGTATAAGCATGTGAATAAGCATACCACATTGAAATATGGCATGTCATGGTCGCTACAGAATTCTCAGAGAAGCAAAAATGAAAATATGTTTAAACAAAAACTATAGTAAGTATCCTTAAATTATTCTTTAACAGCTTAGAAAGCTTAGAAAACATCAGTGTTTTACCAGATCTTCTGGTCATCATTTTGAAAAGGTGATATGGAGTATGGCGAGCTTAAGGGGAAGACCAAGCCTGTGGAAGTTACCAAAGGAGGAGAAATACCAATGTTTGGCAGGGAAAGAAGAAACTTGGCAGGACATTTGTTTCTCCTACAGAGCCTACAGCATTTTAGTAATTTTTTATTAAAAGGCACTGAGAATAAAATGATAGTTATCACAGAATGCCACATGACTAAATAAATAACACCGTGCTGTAATTACATATCCCATCTGCTTTCCCGTGAGCTCACAGTAAGTCACCAACAAGCTGGTTGTGAAATTATCATTTCACAGTCTTTACAAAATAAACAATGAATCAAAATTATTTATAAAAAGAATGAAAGAAAAGAAGCATTTTTGACTAAGCTTTGAATATTAAGTTCAGTCAATTAGAGATAACATAGACTTGAGAAATTATTTTTGTGTCTCTAAGAAAATAAGAATTTGAGCATAGTTCTGTTCAAAGAACTTCAAGGATGAAAATATTTGCATTCTGCATTGTCCAATGTGGCAGTCACAAGTCCCATGTGGTTCTTAAAAACCTGAAGTGTAACTGATACAACTGAATTTTTAATTTTATTTTCTAACTACTAATTAATATAACTTTAATTATACATTCTAACTAAAATGACCACATGTGGTTAATGGCTACTGTATTAGAAGACACATTAAAAAGACAAAATTGTAGACTTGAACTCAAAAATAGATGTGTAATTTTTATGGAGTAAAATTTTATGAGTAATTTTTATGGAGCCAATAAGTGCAAATTAAAGCCTTTTAAAATCTGTATTAAAATGTATTTATCACATAAGTGGTACTAGATCATGAAGATCCAATTTCACAAGAAAAGACAGATAAACATAAGAAAACACACTATATCCCTCTAATATGAACATTTAGTAGACGATCTAGACTTCATTTAGAGTGCATTAAACAATGTCTTTAGTGTCTTTTTTTTTATTTTTTTTTTTGAGATTAAATGGGTTGAGTGCATACATTTCCTTGCTTAAGACAATAACCTCCACTTTTCTTTTCAACTGAAAGCAACAAACTTTTATCACAGAAAGGTAAGCAAGGTGATAATTATTTATAAGTTCTGTATTCTCTTCATGAATTTATATTTTGTTTTATTAGTTCATGATGGTTTGTTTATCTGTGATGAAAGAGAAGATGTGAAAATAAGTCCTTATGATTCATCACTACTAGAAAATTGTCTCTGAAGTTTGGGGAGTACATGGCCATGAGTTAAAGGAAGACTTCTGAGGCTGATGAAGAGCACGTGGGAAAAGCAAGCCCAGAACACATTCCACTCTCCCAAGAAACCAGGTTTGGTTGCCCTGGTGAGGGGGCAGGTTCTGCTAGTATCCAATGCTTTGATTTGATGTTCCCCACACTTGGCTCCCCACGTGCCCAGGTGAGGGGGAGAAGGTGCTGACCCGTTAACATAAAATCTTCAGTTAACCTGACACTTAATCACTGAGGTTATCGAGCCAGGTCAGTCTCTTGTGAGTCTAGTTACTCACAAGTCAAGTTCACTCACTCCTGAAGTAGTAAGAGAACAAAGCGTCTATGCTCCCAGATTTGAAGTTCTGATCAGGAGTCACAACAGCCTCCCACCAGGCCTCTGGGAACTCTAGTGGCAGCTGATCTTCCAAAGCTGATGCCCTGCCTCCGCTGACAGTTTACACCAAATTTTAGTTTTGTAGAATGATGAACGCATCCTTCATTAAGTCAGTAATAACAACATTTGCTAAGCTCTTACCTAGCTCCAGGCACTGCTCTAAGCCTCTTACATTTACCTTAATTTGCGCTTCACCACTGTAAGTGGATGTGGATCTCATTACATCCTCAATGGGATATATAGAGAATAGCCAATTTGCTCCAGATCATGGGTGGTGAGTGACGGAGTAAGGATTCAGACTCTGGCAAAATAACTCTAGAGCCCATCCTCTTATTTACTAAATATCTTGATTTATACTAAATATTCTCTATTATGATCCTTTTGTAACAGGACCACTGTGGCACCAAAGACTGCAGGGCATGCTGGCTTTGTTGGGGCTGAGTTGAGCTGCTTCAGCCCACTTTCTCCTTGGCGCCCCTCTGTGCCAGCAGCACTGTGGGGTTTGAGTGTTGGAGCCCCGCATGTGGAATCATTGTTCTCAGGGCTATTGGTGCTCAGAGTTCCTGCTGGCCAAGCAAAATGTATAGTCAGGCCGGGGGCTTCTTACCAAGGCCAAACGTCTTGGTATGAGGAACATACTGGGAAACCAGTATCTGCTGAGAACAGCAAGAAGATATTATGGCCAGATTAGCAAGATCGGCTAGAATACCTTACTTATGAAGCTTAGCAGGAAGCTAGGTAAGAATAGGGACTAGAGAGAGCATGCTTTGATTAGCAGGAACTATGGAGCCCCTCAAGCCATAACCCTGGCCACTCCAGCCCAGCTTGCACCATACAATCTCTCATCCCCATGCCTGTAGTTGCCCATCTTCCCTGAACATGGTTCGAAATAAATACGAGACTGCCCTCGGATCAGGACTGAACATGCCTTCCTGGTGTAGCCCTCTAGGCTTCTCATTGCTCCACATGAACTTTGAGTAATCTCTCAACCCCCAATGCTGCTGCCCCATGAGGTGACACCCCCAGGGCGAGGCAGCATACCTTGGGCAGCAGGGCCTGGATTTCCCTGACCCTGCTAATCAAGCACTGCCTATCAGTCAGCCAACCCAGTTCACTCTAAAAATGGCAGAAGTGCTGGGTGTTTCACTGTTTACAGCCTCCAGTGTGAGCAGGTCTCCCTGGGACCCTCCCTGGTCTGGTGCTGTCTGGCCTTCAGACCATTGCTGCGTGTTGCTACAGTGTCACTTCAGGTGGGGACCTGCAAGCACCTCCAGTTGCCACCCTGAGTTGGATCCTGCCCTACTGTTTTGTACCAGCTCCAGGCCGTTGTTAATGAGACAGTGCCATCTAGCAAAAGTGGCCCTTTTTGGGGGCAACTAAACACTGCAGGCACTATCTGGGGTGATACAGTCAGCCACTTGTGGCTTTAGAAACTCTAGTTTTCTCCAACCTCCTATTTGCTAAATAAACAGCATTATTGTTGTTTTCAACCGAGTGCATGGATGAGAACCCATTGACAATGACTTTCCTTGGCACTGTCCTTTAACCCTGCTTTACCACTATAATAATCCTTCTGTTAGTAGTTCTTTCATACAGTTATTCTATGGGAAGCTGAATTTTATTAAAGCATCAGCATCAACTTTTAGCCAGACATGGAAATGACCTGTGAAGATCATTAAAGAGAAAGCTAGAAACATTAAAACCTTTGCAAACAGGGGCCTCCCCGGTGGCACAGCGGTTGAGCGCTGGGTTGCGAAGATGCCCGCAGCCTCTGCAGCGCTGGTTCGATCCCCAGCTGCTCCCCGGCCACCGGAGGAGGGTCCCACATGGCGTGCAGACCTCTCCTGCCGCCCGCTGCTCCCCTCAGCAGTGTACCTCGGTCCTTCTGCCTGCTCTGCTCCCCGCTCTGGCTCTGGTGAATTCTCTCACCCTCCCGCACTTCTGACTGTACCCAATGCTTGTATAAATAAATAAATAAATACATCTTTAAAAAAAAAAAAAAAAAACCTTTGCAAACAATGTTTTTATGAAATATTTAAGAAGCAAATCACTATTAGTTGACACAGAAAAGTTTATGTTCTCAAGCAATTATAAATCCCCTCTTTTAAATCTAGTTTAAATCTAGTTGTACAACAATCCTTTATAGGATGAAAAGAATCATCTATAAGTAGTTACTTTGGGTGTGTGTGTTGGGGGTGGAATTCCCATGAAAATAAATCTTATTTATTGAGTTCTCAGTAAATCTTTATGTGCTGATCTTTATGTGCTGCTTTAACTCGTATAACAAGCAAAATGAGTTGAACAATACAAATCCCATTTTAGAGATTAAGAAAAACTGAAATAACTTGTACAAATTTGCAGCTTCAGTACCACAAGTCTGTGAGAGGCAGAGCTGTGACCAAGCTCACAGTGTAACCACCATGGTCCAGAACTCTCAGGGAGATTCCAACAGTCGGCTCAGGCTCCTTCAAGCTGTAAAGCCCTCGAGTCTGTTGACTATACTTATCGGTCCCCATTCACATTTATGTGATGAAAACATGCCACATGTCTGTTTCAAAATAATTTTCTGAAATGAAAATTTTTCAAGGTCATATTCTATTTGTGTTGTGGGGAAGGCATTACTTAAGCCTCTGGCAGAGATAAAGATGATGAGCCCAGAGATCTGGAAAACACAGGACTTCTGATGTCCAGCTGGCCTTCTTCAGACACCCTTATATACATCTAATACTATAGCACGACTTCCAGTATTTTTGAAAACTCATTTGGATAATTAACACTAATGAGGGTCTGGCAAATGTAAACGTAAAGTATTTAAGAGAATAATCGAAACTATTTATTCATTGACACGGCTTATAAACATGTCAACCACATAGTGGAAAAGCTAATAATTACTCCCTAATTGTGCTAATTCTGTAACGACAATGCTGTAACTGTGTATTTATATAAAGTTAGATTTCTCTGAGTAATGTTACCATTACTCAGACTTTGGACTTCTGCCACCATACACTCATATTTATACTGGTACATGCCAAACTATTTGAACTATTTATTTATTTATTTATTTATTTTTAAAGATTTATTTATTTATTTATACAAGCACTGGGTACAGTCAGAAGCAAGAGAGGGTGAGAGGATTCACCAGAGCCAGAGCGGGGAGCAGAGCAGGCAGAAGGACCGAAGTACACTGCTGAGGGGAGCAGCGGGCGGCAGGAGAGGTCTGCGCGCCATGTGGGACCCTCGCCTGTGGCCAGGGATCGAACCTGCGCTGCAGAAGTTGCGAGCAGCTTCGCAGCCCAGCGCTCAACCGCTGCGCCACAAGGGGAGGCCCTGAACAATTTATTTTTAAAACTGATTGTTAATGTGCGACTAGTATTCAAATCCGAAACTTACCACATCCTTATGAGGAGGTTCTGCTTCCTTCTTTATCTTTTTACCCATTCTGGAAAGAGATGCAATCAGTGGTTAAAGTGTTAGAAGTACATTACATTTGTACTAGTTTCTCAGCTACCTAGTCTTCAGGAGGAGATTAATATCTTCCCTTAAAGTTTACCTTAAAAATAATATAAGCAGGGACTCCCTGGTGGTGCAAGGGGTTAACCAACACTCTATGAAGAAGTCCGCAGCCTCTGCAGCATGATTTCTTTTTTTTTTTTTTAAGGATTTATTTTTTTATTTATACAAGCACTGGGTACAGTCAGAAGGGTGGGAGGGTGAGAGAATTCACCAGAGCCAGAGCGGGGAGCAGAGCAGGCAGAAGGACCGAAGTACACTGCTGAGGGGAGCGGCGGGCTGCAGGGAGGTCTGCGCGCCATGTGGGACCCTTCTCTGGTGGCCAGGGAGCAGCCGGGGATCGAACCGGTACTGCAGAGGCTGTGGGCAGCTTCGCAACCCAGCGCTCAACCGCTGTGTCACCGGGGAGGCCCTGCAGCATGATTTCTATCCCGGGCTGGCCAGGGAGCAACGCACATGGCGAGGCAGATCTCTCCTGTCTCACCCGCTGCTCCCTTCAGCAGTGTGTTTCAGTCAGTCTGCCTGTTCTGTTCCCCACCTATCTCTGGTGAATCCTCTCACCCCCCACATCTCTGGCCTGTACCCCAGCTGTTGTGTGCATAAATAAATCTTAAAAAATACTATAAGCTAATATATAGAAATTATTACACATGCGCAAAAATGTTTCCTAAACCCTATTTCAAGCTCTATTATTTTAAAGAATTGATAAAATTGTTGAACATTAATCCTGGATTCCAGTTTGAAAAGAGGAAATATATTACTGACATAACTTTTACTTACATATAGGAAATAGTTTACCATGCTTATAGATAATTTACATAGGGCTTAGGAGACAAAATCTGAGTGATTCCTGAAATCTGCAAGAATGTTTTCTCATGAAGGAAGGAATTTTCATCTTCTTTCTTCCATTAATCTATTCTAAGCACCTAGAACAGTGTTTGGTACATGGCAGGCATTTGATATTTATAATAATCATCATCTTTGTATTTCCTAAGAGTAACGATTTTCTGAAAAAACTCCAAATCTATAAACTCCAAATTAACAATTGTGTTATTTTCCCAGATAACAAGGTCTTCTTTAATATCATCCACATCTCATAGGGAATCTAAAGAGATATATTCTCAGGGAATTGGGGGTATTCCTTGAAAGAACCTCTTTCACGTACCCAAAAGTCAAAGAAGGAATATACACTCATACACTGTCAATTTGCCAGGGAAGTATCTCCACCTGGGTACAGAGAACCTTCCAAGATGTTGCTGACTATAACAGACTAACTCCAGATATCTTTCAAGTTTTCTTAATGAGAGTTTGGGGGATATGTTTGGCATTAGGACAATCTCAGATGGCATATCTAGTCTCAAGGAAATTACTGTCTCAAGAGAAATCTTGGGAAGTAGAAAACCATCGAAGAGAATCTGCAAGGTCAGGGTTAGTTTAGATGGTCTGTCAAGGAACAAAAGCAACTCCTAGCATGGGAGATGCATACCAGAATTTATCACATACTTTAAAAATCCGCATGTTCATTAACACTCACACGGACTTCCAAAAGATATCTATTCGAAGTCCCTACCTTCAGGTTTATTAAATTTCAAGATCTTTTGAGGTGCCAGGCAAGCTCACTCTGTGCTGCACCACTTCATACTATAGTGAATATGTTAAAGAGACCCATATACCTCATTAAAATCGATTTTCATCCTAAAATTATTGAAATTTTGTGTATGAAATTACCTAGCCTTCAGTTTGAGTACCTGAAAACTCCTGAAAAATGAGATTATTTTCAAATGTAATGAAATTTTGATATTAATAAAACATTGGATTCAACTTTTTTTCCCATTTTTTCTCCCTATTTTTGATCAAATTTTTTCTTCAAATCTCAAGCATCTTACATAGGTGCTTGAAAAGCACACACCTTAGAATTGTGCCTATAATCTTTTGAGGCAGACACACAGGAACTAGCACAAATGAAAATCTATTCTTTGACTAAACACCAGGGAAAAAAAGATTTCTTGGCTCTTTATAACCAGTTCCAAAGTAAAGCACCCTTGGATTTACAAAACGATTCCGTAGGAATAATATTCAAGAAGTAATTAAATTATACATGCATAAATATGCTTTAAGTTATCTGATTTTCACTCAAAAACTTATTTCAGGAGGATGGTTTTGAGTAATTGCATATTGAAGACCACAGATGCTGAAACAGCCTAAACTCAGGGAATTATAGTGATGGAGCTAGTCGTGGGTACTGCTGAACGGCAGTAAGTGCTTAGTTTGCGCTGACATAGGCAGGAAGCAATGAGCCTCAGAGATGATCCTAAGGGCTTAAAAAAAGCTTAGCAAACTACCTTTCACTTAAATTCAACATGATACAGTAAATGACCTCTCTATTCTTTCAAGGTTTGTTTTCCTTTAAAGCAAAATATGTCAATACATGAAAACAAATCTCTAACTTTTTGAAGCAAACTAGCTGTTTGCCTTGACTATTTTATACCTGCCAAAATTTACATAAATTTGACCTCTTTATCCATTTTAATTGTACAGTTCTGTACAATATAAGTCCAGGTTCTTTTTCAGTGAAAATACAGTATAGAAAATTTGGAAAGCAGAGAAGGGAAAATGGAATAAAATAAAAATCGACAAGAAATAAGCTTAGGGAAATCAGCACACTTCAAAACAGTTCCTTGTGTGTTGTTTCCTAGAGGGATTTTATCCTCACACCTAGATTTTTATCCCCTATTTTCAACTTCCTTTCCTGGGACCGTTTTCTACTAAATTTTTAAATTTTTGAGCTAGTTCATGAAATATCAGTCTCCATATAGTGCTCCAAATAATTCAATTGGATCAGCATATCATTTAAAATATTTTACAATCCAACCTCCATTGTAGACCTTGTTTCCAATAAGCTGGATCATGGACAAGGTTGCAATAAAGAAACATCCTTAGACATAACATTTTCACCCATATCTGCAACTGTTTCTTTAAGATAAATCCCTACTAGTGAAATAATTGAGTGAAAATGTATGAACTTCATGGCATTGAGGATGGAAACAAATCTTCTTTCAATATGCATTATCTTGAAATTGGAGTTGCCTTTTTTCCATGAACTTCATGATCATTTTATTTCTTTGTGAATTTTCAGTCTATATGTTCTTCAATGTCTTCTATGGGGAAAGACTATTTTGAGAAGACTATCTTGCAAAGAGGATGGCTAGAACAAGTGGAAATCCTCTTCTTGAGTTGCTCACAGTTAAATAACAGAATCTTGGAGGCACAGATCTCCTCTGGAGCCTCAGTTAAATGAGAGGTGGCCTGTAAAAATTCAGTTGTACAAGAAGAAATAAAGCCTTTCTTTTTAAATGCAGTTATAATGCCACATTTCTATCAAGTTCCTAAAAATGTCAGAAAAGTCCATAAACATTTATTGTCCTCCACATGAAATGGATGTTTGTAATTTTGTTGGAATGTTTTTAAAACTGTACATCATGAAACTTACTGTTTATTACATTTTCCCACTAAAATGGTCTATTAGCTGAGGTTTTATTAGACAAACTTCTATGGGTCTAACCAAAAAAAAAAAAAAAAAAGGAGGTGGCCGCAAAGCTGATGAAACATACCTTAATCCCTGACTAACTCCTAATAAGAGGTTGGTTCCCTCAGTTTTCTGGGAGGTTCCCACTAGCGGGGCACCTTCTCCTTCCCCAGGTTTTGCTGGGGCCTCTACCCTGGGCCTCTCCAAACCGCGTGGATAGACAGGCAACCTCCAGTCTGCCTTTACCTGCCAGAAGATGCAGCCAAGCAACCGCTCTTCAGAATGCACCAAGCGCCCCTGCAACTGCCTGAGCACAGCTCCGGATCCTCAGCGGTCCCTGGTTGCTATGCAACACCAGGCGGCGCCTGCGCACAACCCGAGGGAGAGCTAACCCGCATACGGTGCATCACATGAGGCGTCCTTTATTCACTCTGGGAAACAGCAATGTGTCTTCACTTCTCCAAGTCTTGTGCTTTGGAGCCGGTTAGACACTGGGAAGCCTCCTATTCCTAGTTGTGGACCAACCAAGGTGAACATGGTAAATCAGCTGACGCTGCAGCTTCAGCAGAGGACTGGCTGTGGAGTCACATACTGAGATGCTATTGTGTATTCTCCCAAAGACTGGCCTCCGCAGCAATGTTTGTGTAGATGACTTCCAAATCGCCACAGCCCTAAGCTGCCACCTTCATTGCCAACTTCCTATGCACGAGGGTGCCGAGTCTGTTCCCATGGGCTTTATCATTTCCCTTCAGAACTCCCCAAAATGTCTTTCTCTGACTTTAACTCATATGTATATTCCCCTATTGGAATCCAATGCTTTGGCTTATTTATCCTTCCTCCTACTGGAAAGCTCTACTTGAATGTCCACAGTCACCTCAAACGTCAACATTACCCTCCTAAACTTACCATTTCCCCACATAAATATGTTTTCTATTTATCAAGAGGTACTACTGTTATCCCAACCCAGCCACCTCAGTGGTGGGAGCTGGCAGTAGCGGTGGAGTTCTTTCACCCTGCTGCTCCACCACAAGTCATTGTGGCAGTTGCTCCTCAGAGACCTTTTATGTAACTGTACTTCCTGGATCATGGAATGGGTCAATCAGATGTTCCCCTGTTTCACCACCACCACCCAGTTATCCAAGCATGAAGTCTGACAGTTGTTCTAGATCCATTCTACTGCATATACAGCTACTGCATCCCCCTCCATACCTTGTAATTATCCTACCTTTTCATTCCCATAGCCCAAGTACAGAATGTCACTTTCTTTTACCTGCTTTCATTTATCTCATCCTCTAGATTCTATCCATCTTCTCTAGGATGACCAAAGTAATCCTTGTAATTGGCCTCTTTCCTTACTGACACCCAATTATTCCATCACATACATGATGTGATGCAGCAAGATTCTTAAATTAGCATTCAAGATCTTATTCTGGCTGACCCCTCTGCATTAGCTTCTGTAATTATTCAAAGAAAAAAGAAAATGCTGATAATTCTTCAAATATGTCATGACATTTAATGCCCTGTCTTCCCCAATCAGTCTAAAAACTATTCATTCACCTTTCAGAATTTATTTTTGTCATGATTTCCCCCAGAAACTTGTATTTTCTTTAGACACAGTGAAACACTTTTCATTTTGTGCCCAACTGCACCTTCTACTTGCTCTATTTCTTCTACTTTCATGGACATTGTGAATTTTTTTTTTGTTTATATGTGTCTACCCCCACATATAAACTGGCTGTTTCTTTAATTAACTAACATTTGTTGACTGCTCACTGTGAGGTCAGGCAATTATAAAGTGGTTAAAATGCATCATTAAGTTCCCACCATGACCCTACGAGAATGAATGATGTAATTGCCATAAGGTCACTCCACTTAAATTGAGGTCAACTTGACTCATAGTCATGTGTTGAACCAACATGATGTTAGTAAATCATGAAAATACAATGTCATAATAAATTTGTAAAGTTTATGAAATAATTCAAACTCTCAATTATTTTTTCACACTCCCTCTTTACTACACAGGATAATTTTGGATGGTTCTAATTTACAATGGGATGGGTTTTGATAAGTGCTCACAGTAATTTAGCCATTACCATAATGAAGACAGAAACATTGTCATCATCCCAATTCCACTCATGCTCCTTTGCAGTCAAACCTCTTTATCCCATTACTTGGGAACTACCGATCTGTTTTCTCTCCCATAATTTTGCCTCTTACAGACTGTCTTATTAATGGAACTGCACAATTTGTTGTGCTTTTTGTCTGGTTTCTTTAGTTTTTCACAGTACTTTTGAGACTTGCCCATGTCATTGCATGTGTCGGCAACTTGTCTCCACATATTGCCGAGTAGTATTGTACTGCCTGGAACTACAGCATCCTTTCACTGGTTGATGGATATTTGGGTTCTTTCCAGTTTTGGACTATTATGAATAAATCTGCTCTAAACATTTATACATGGGTTTTTGTGTGAGCATATGTTTCTCCTTCCTTGGGAAAATACCCAAGAATGAAGTTTCTGGGTCGTATGCCATGTGTATATTTGATAATATGAGAATGTGCCAAACTGTTTTTCAAGGGAGCTATACTATATTTACATTCCCACCAGAAGTGAGTAAGAGATCCATTTGCTTCATATGCTCTACAACACTTGCTATTGTCAGTCCTTTTAGTTTTAACCATTCTAGTGGGTGCGTAGTGGTCTCCTTCTGTTATAAATCTTCATTTCCATCATGACTAATGATGATAAACTCATTATCTATACTTGCTAATCATTTACATATCTTCTTTTGTTACATTAGTTACATACCTAATATTTTCCTACTTTTAACTGTCTTATAACTATATTGAGTTCTAAGAGTTCTCCCTATATTTTGACCACAAGTTACACATAATTTGGAAATATTTTCTTCCCAGGTTTATTACATTGGAAAATGAAACTCTAAGACTATTGCCTAGCCAATGACATGGTTTCTTATTGCTACTGAGATAGTCATTGCTTTTCAGGGCTAGTGAAGCTATGAATTCAGCACACATAATAAATCAGATCACCTTATGGTTACAAGAGAGAGAGATTTCATTATGTGGCAGTTATAGGAAAGCCATAGTTCTTTGGATAAGTATAACTTCCTAAGTATAACTAAGTATAAATTCGTAAGTATAACTAGAAGTAATTCACATATCCCACAGATTTTTGTTCACCACATTGAGCTACAGCAGTAGACACTTGGTGTGCCAAAACTATTTCCATTAGGTAATTCTTTGTAGGAGACCACAGGTCTTCAATAAGAAATCCTCTGAAATAAGAGATCTTTGGGCTTGTGGATACTATAAGAAGTTCAAATCTTATGAAATATTTTCATATTCAACCAGGTCAAATTGTGCATGTACAGCCCTTTCTTTCAATCACATGTGTTTAATGATACATTATTCACATCACCTGGAATATGGTTCTGCTTCACAAAGACAATCAGGTAGAGCCATTCTAGTAGGTGAAACAGGTATTTATCTCCAGATATTACTGTGTTGTGTTATAATTATCTATACTTTTGTGGATTTTCCAATGTGAGCATGTATTGCTCTGACAACCTGAAAAAATTGATTAAAGAACTGAACAAGGCAAAAATGAACACAGTTGTCCCCACCTTTGTAAAAGCATCATTACTTGAGTGTGACTTTCCCCTGTCCCTTATCATTGAGTCAAACTATGTCAGTCAAGTTGTGTGTATCAAAGGCAACATGACAAGGTTCTTTTTTTTTTCCTGAAGTAGAACATATACTGTTTTACTTTAGTTTCATAGATTTTTCCAGTTCTGATTATTCTGGCATCTCATAAACATCTGGAGAGAAAAAGAGTCACAGAATAACCTGTATTTAAAATGCCTGAGTATTTCCCATTATTAGAACAGATATTTTATTTTCAAACTCTGTTCATAACTTTGGGGAAATAATATTAAAAGACAGGATGGGACCTGACTGAGAGATCTCAATCCGAAGGTAAAGGATATGAGTATTAAATTTGGTTATACAAATACTACACAAAAATGAACAATGATGTAAGGAAATTAATTTGAAAAAGGGGGAAAATAGTGAATTAACATAAAAAAAGTAATTTAGTTGTGGTATTTTCTTCCCCCAACTTTAAGTAACTAAACCATTCAAAATTAACTTACAACCTTCCATCTCATGAATAGCAACCTTTTTCTGATTTATATCCACAATTTTAGAATGAAAATTGAGACATTAAAGTTAAATGAATCAGATCAAATATAATTCTAGGTAGCCTCACCTATTGTCAGTCATTATCTGGAATCAGAACTTAATTGGGCAAAAAGAAAAAGATTTCTAGAAGAATTCCCTGTAACTTAAATACCACCAATCACCTGTGCTTGAGATACAAAGATTTTAAGAAACAGTCTCTGCCTTCAAGAACTTCTAAGTCCAGCAGGAGCAGAATGAGGCAGGTGAACAGACCCTCTTCATACTGACCAAGCAAATCTTTTGCACTCTCCCACAATGTCTCAACCATGCTATGAAAATCAGGTCCCTAGTTTTTTTGCATACTTGATTCAGACTAAGGTAAGAGTCAAGTCTCCCAGAAATCATCACAGTGGGGCAGAAATATTGAGTATTAGAATTCAGGGTCAAATGTTCCTTCTCTCAGCAGTAATTCCCCACCAGTATACACCTTGGGTATGACAGACTTGTCCTTTACCTCTTTGATTCCAGAACTTCTGCCATGCTCAAAATAGAGTCTTATGGAAGGGAATGGGGGTCCAGAGAACAAAAAAAGACATTAGTAGATTTGTCTGAAGTCTATATAGTTTTTCCAAACTTGAAGGTTTATTCATTGGCTCAACTCTTGATGACCTTGCTTAGATGTTAATAGGTTACACAAAGTGTAGATTCTGCATGATACAGTCAGTCTTCATCTCCCTACTTTCTTCAGAGCTCAATGAGGTAATTTAAGCTTCTACTTCTAGTAAGTATTGAAACAGAGCAAACCTGTGGAACTTGGGTTGACCCAATTGGTGTGTCCACACTCACATGCTTAAGAACACAGAAAAATGGGGAGAACCACAATAAAAGGAATTATTTACTATAAGTTTATGTCATCTACTTACAAGAAAATACACATACAAGTGAATGTGTGTAATTCAAGCTTCAAAGCCCTTCTAAATCTCCCCTTCATTCACAGTGGAAGATTGATTGTCAGCTTCCTGTTATATGACCAGGCTGGGGCTTGGATTTCCAGGGCTAGAATCCTCTGAGGCCCAGGACAACTCAACTGTGGAGAATAGACAACCTAAAAGCTTAGCAGACAAAAGCAGG